AAGTCGATCCTGCCTATACGCTTCCTTGATGGTCATCTTCGTCTTCGTCTCGATACCAACTGAAATAGAATGGACTCCGTTTCTAGTTGAGATGCCAAATTTGTTGCACCAAGGATCGAGGGACTTGGGCCAGCTAGCACACCACAGAGCGCAATAAAGATGACATAACAAGCTAAACAACAATATTGTCTTAAATAGTTATCCGATGCCGAGATGGCGCCTAAATGCCGTACATCCCTAGTCGCGCTTTCGTGAGGCGGGCTAACTACTTAACAACGAACTTGAAAACCTAACATGTATTTCATTTCATCGTGGAAAATCTCTCAAAATCATGCAAAACCTTACCTTCAACTTCGCGGAATTGGACGACAGCAGATTGTTTGTCACAGCCAGCGCGCAGGGCGATGGGCATGTAACTGTCGAATTGCCGTCCTAAGCAGCTTTGCTCCCGCAGGCGCACGTGGAAAGAAATCGCATCCATCTGCTGCGACGTCGAGATGAAGTTCTGCAAGCATGTCGAAAACCGCATTCATAAGATTACACAACACTATTACAGAGAAAACAGAGTAACAATAATAAGTATACTCGATGATGAGCAAAACTTGAGCAAAACGTTTAGCATCCCCTCACCTCAAAACATCTCGACCATGAACCCTACACACCTCACCACCAAAGCACGCACCAACTGCGTGGTGTCCCCCCCCCCAAGTGCTCCCCATTTGTATCACCTTGCTTGGGTTCGTTTCTGTTACATCACAACTTCAGAAAAGTACCAATCGGCGGATGTAGATCCCGTGATATGCCCAGAATACAACATTTATTTTTATTTATCCTAAATCCAGTGATCGCGTCCGCGACCTATGCCATTTCTAGTGTCACTGTGGGTGCCTCCCCATCCCAACAGGATGACCAGCGGTCGCGGGGTCCGCCTCCTGCCGGGTCAAATCTAACATACCTGCTCGATACCTATTGATATATTACGATTTCAGAAATGTACATTCGGCAGATACAAATTCTGTGATACGCCCAGAGCAAAACAGCTTCTTGTGCCCGTCGCTAGGGCCCCCAGTTGCCTCGCGTTCCACAACCATGCGCCATCTATAAGTAAGAAAAACGCTTTTGCCCCGATGGCAGCTTCCTTCCCATTGCACCTCCTTACGGCGGCTTCCTTCCCATATGGCACCCTGCCATTGGCTAATCATGGTCTAGGTACGTCTTTGCTGGCTGGATGTTTCGCTCGCACCCTTATCGCATGCCGGTGGATCCCCGGCTGGCTGTGTTCCTACATGCCGATATACATATATATGCAGACACTGGCCTGGAGGACAGCGAACACTAAAACAAATCTGGGGCAAAAATACATGCGCCAGGAGGGCCGAACTCGGCAGGGCCTCCAGCTACGCACCTGCAGGCGCTGCGGCCGCATGTAGACTGGATTAAGCGGCGTCTGCAGGAACCCTGTAAAGCTGCCCACCACCACCACAGCCCAGTACTGCGGCAGGGTCGTATCTTCCACAGGGTCGGACGACAGCATCTGGTGCCGTATTTCACGACCGTGTACGATGAACGTGATGCGGTCATTCACAGCCAGATCGTGAAGCTCGATGCGTTCCACATTGTTTACGGTATCTGGGGGGTTTAAAGGTAGCAATTTGAAAGGAAGGTTTTAAGGATGCTTAAGGTGCTTAAATGTGCCGTTTTATGTACGCGAATTTCTGTTAGTAAGCTGTTAGTTTTATCTACGGAAAATCCGTGATGGACAACACAGTCGTACCCCGCGGAGTAACAACCGTACGGCCGGCGGGAGCCTGTAATGCACCGAAGGGCTGCGGATGTGGATTTATTTTTGCCAAGCTGTCCTGTATGTGACCATACCACGAAAAACGTATGTTATTATGGACATGAGGGACAGGGCATGTAGCGCAGATAAAAGTAAGGACTACTCGGAGGGCGATAACGGCGTCACTTGCAACGAAACCGCAGCGGTACAAGGAGCAGCAGCAATCAACTAACTGCTGCCAACCTTCGCAGCGGTATGAGAAAAAAAATCTCAGCAGCCATACTTCCTGAATGTATGTATAGAGGCTGTCGTACAGTACAGCAAGCAAACCGTCGCTGTCAATGTGTATAGCCATTATAGCGCTCTGCTGCCTGCACCTTGTGGGGGCTTTTCGGCGGGCTGCCCCTGTGATGCAAGTTGAGCCACGTGCACAATCTCGGCAGTGGTATCTGGTATTAACTCTCGGTATTATCAGTGTACGAAAACATTCCAGCATGGAATCTGGACAAACGTACCTGGCCTGATTTGGCGCCACGTGGTATTGTCGTTCAGGGTGTAGTAGAAATCCAGGTCGTTTACAAGTGACGTCATAGAGCTAGGCTCGCCAGGGTAGTCATGCCAGACGAGAGTTGCGGTGATTCTCCTGCGCGCCGAGAAACCCGGGATGGACACAGGGGGGGTAGGATTACTCCTCGATAGCTGCGCCAGCGATAACCTCGACATGGATGCATGACATGCGCACATCTTGGTAATGGCTATATCAGGATGTCTACGGCGCGTGTTCCCATAGCGGTCCTTCTTACTCTTACATACAAGCATTCAGACAGGTATGCAGACAGACATGCAGACATATAAGCAGACCGACAGACATGCAGACATATACTATCTCTCTCTGCACATCTGCATAGCACGCAGGCATATACGCTGGCAGCTATATGTGCAGGCAAATGTGGAGATGGGCGAAAGTACCTACAGGCAGGTACATCAGTAAACATTTGAGTAAACACCTATCGGCGACACCCCCGTGTATACCCTCGTGTAGAAGATAGGGCCCGACTGACGTGGGCAACAGACGGACAGGCAGCCAGGAAGACGGCAGGCGACAGGCAAATGTGCAAAACAAGGAATCATGGACGCACGCTTAGCCGCACCCCATGCCGGTGGCTCGCAGCCCGGGGAGGTAGAACACGTCGCCTGTAGCAATGGTGCCCCGATCTGCCACTTGAATCTTGAAGTCCCCCGGCGTGAGCCCCGGAAGCGGTAGAGTACGGCTGAGGTCGATGCGACCCCACCCCTGGCACCGACATACACACAGAGAGAGACCACGTTGTGTATAGGGGCAAGTTGCATACATGAAAACGGATTTCCACGTTTCGTTGTGGCGATGGTGATGGTGGGAACGATGGTGGTGGTGATGGTGATGATGCTGGCGATGGTGGTGACGGTGGTGGTGACGGTGGTGGTGATGGTAAAGTTGATGAGCATTGGTGCTAGTGGCCATGTAATGGTGGGTGTAATGGTGGTGTAATGGTGATGTGACGGTCATGGTCATGGTGCCGTGCCGTCATTTATCTCGGAAATCTGGGAGGCCAGGCACGTCGCGTTGAGGCGCTTCACCCTGAAGCGGACGAGGGAGAATGATAATGACCTCCCGTGTACCCGCATCAATACCAATACAACGTCCATGGCCCCCCCGGCGTTTACGGACACACCCGCACTTGTGTGCGGAACTTGTAACTTGTATGAGGGACAGACGGCACACATTGCCGTCGTGCACCTTGCATTTAAGGAAGTTGCTGGTGGGGTGACATTTATATTTACATGCCGCATCAGCTGCTGCAGCTGCTGCAGCTGCAGCAGCTGATGTGGCTAATAAAAAGTTGTTCATGCGGCCGTGCATGTCAATGCCGCGAAGCAAGCTACCAGCGGACGCACCTGGTATCCGTTGGGTGGGGGGCCCATCGGCTGGAAGACCGCCTTAGCTAGGCCACCCTGCAGGTGTGAGAGGTTTTTACGGTGAACGGCGTACGGTGTATTTTCAATGGTGTCCGTAAAAGATAAGAGGCTAAAACGCATGGGTCGCATGGATGGCTAAAATTAGGATGGGTGGATTGATGGACGGATGGATCTGGATGGGTCTGGATGGGTCTGGATGGATGGATTAATTACAAACTTGACGAACGAGCGAGCTTATACTGTCCAGACGAACCTGGTGGCTCATGAACCTCCTACCCTAACAAAACAGAACCACTGTTTTTCAGATTCAACGATTTGCATTTTTGAGCTGTTACGCTATGCGGCCTGTGTGACACGGATGTAGACTTCCCAGGCGCAATCCAATAATTGGCTCCTACTATATACGTACAAACAATCATCCGGATTGGTTGGGGGATCCCCAACCAGCTGGCTGACACAAAGGCGTTCCTGGGCTTGCTGTCCGACACGTCGGCAAGCTGCGTGGCGGCCTACAGGCCTACACCCCTACACCCCCCAGATGCAACCTTCGCAACACACACAACACACGCACCTCCAGGGATCGAGCTCCGGCGATTGCTGCAGCCTGCACAGTCGAGACGTTTGTCAGTCAGTCTCAATCAGAGGAACGACCAAGTGGTCGATTGGAGGGCTACGTGATGAGAATGGGAGACATATGCAGCACAGAATCCCCGATGTGCTGCACCGCTGCTTCGAGCGAGGGATGCTGATAACGTCAAGGTCTCACCACGAACCTGGCTGGCTACCGTATTATTATTATTATTATTATTATTATTATTATTATTATTATTATTATTATTATTGTTATTGTTATTGTTATTGTTATTATTATTATTATTATTATTATTGTTATTATTATTGTTATTATTGTTATTATTATTATTATTATTATTATTATTATTAATTTTTATAATAATTACGCACAAATGCCACGCATGCTTGGCCATGCTACACCTGCAATGCGCGGGAGGGCCCCATGCCTTTGGTGAAATTCGGCCGGGTATCGTATAGTGAAGCTTCCAAACAACCAGGCCCCACATGCATGTGTACTTTAACCACCGACGGTGCATGAGTTCGGGCGCAGTCGGCAATGTACACGATTTGCGAAGTAGGGGGTTATAGCTTCACTCGTGGCCACTAGCTAGCCCGGCAGTCTCTACCGCAGGAAGCACTTTCCCCGCGATGTTTCGGGGCACCCTCATCCTTCTCACCCATGCCAATCTCTGCGAAGTCAGTGACCCTGTCGCTCGCAGGTCACTAAAACGCAGGTCACTATCTCCGTTCATCGGGCAATGGGGTTGAAAGCACCCTTTAGGTAGTTTAGGAGTTAACTAACCGCTATTTACCGGATTTGAATTTGGAATTTCCCCGGGACATAATGCTGCGTCTTAGCAGAACGGCTGTGTCTGGAGCAGCATACGTACATATCATTAATTTCACTGCCATCACATCTATATTCCCACCCCCTCTACATCACATTTGACTTAGTAATCCAGTTAACTATCCTTAACAGCCTCAGCACATGTGCACGCGTGCGTGCATTTGCATAGGGTTTCGTTCATCACCTTGAGGAGCATGCCGGTAGGATTGAAGCTTGCGGAGACCGGGGCGGCGGTCCAACCTTGAGGGTAGAAACCATCCCTGGACAAAGGGTTCGTACATAGACACGAGGACACAGACAGGCACTTATTGGCAGGCGGATAGATAGGCAGGTTACCCGGAACCCCAGTGAGCAGGCAAGCAGGTACACTGTCCATCTCACAAGACGATCGGTTCCATAGGGATAGTTTAATGTCTTTGCCAACACGGCGTGTGCCCTAGCCTGTGTGGCCACCTCTCATTACTTCTGGAGTAGCCGGCTGAAGCTGGTCAACCTGATTCACATTATCTGGCCAGATAATGTGAATCAGGAATGGGCGATCGAGCTGCTACGGCATAGCAGTCTGCTGAATAGTTTGGTTAATCCAACATAACCTTTCCTTTCGAGCGATAGGATATGCTCTTTTCCTTGTGCGTTTTCATGACATCTATCTACGTCGGACAGCCTTCGGTGCTTGGACCCCTCAGGGCTCGTATGGGCCCGTTACACCTTTGGAGGGTAACATACCTCCAAAGGGAAATGTAGTGTACTACACACATACATACATACATATACACACAGTATTACTCAAGTATGCCCCGATAGAACACCACCGCCATGTGCACCTGTGTAGCGAGTGAGACTTACGTAAAATATTGCCGTACCAGCGCCAGATGTCCCGCAACCTGGATGGCCGGTTTACGTGAACACGTCAGTATGTGGCGCACGTGGGCCGCGTGAGAGGCTGGCATACATACATACATACATGCATACATACATGCAGGCATGATTACATTATCAGGAAAAGTAAGCTGAGCGAGCATGCATGGGGTTCAGGGATTCGGGGATTTGGGGTTTCATGTCCTGGTTAATCGCGAAAACTGTGAACGATTGAACGAGCACAGACGCGGACGGGCGTTCTCACCCCATCCCATCTGCCTGCCTGTCTGTTTGTTTATCTGTCGGTCTATCTATCTGTCTGCCTGTGCGCTTGCTACCCAACCCCTTCCCTGACCGGATCATCATCACCACGCACAACACATTACTGCGAGGGTATGCAACCGTTGGGTGAGTGAATCCACAGCCAGGCCAGCACCTCCTAGATTATCAATGTATTGTGTCCGTCGACTGCCCAAATGCAGGACTGCATTGGACTGCAAAGGCTCCGGCTACAAGTGGCCTTCCCAAACTAATACATTAACGCCTCTCTGTCGTCAGTGATCTGATCAGGCCGCAAAACGGTAGCGAGCCTGATGCTGCATTTGCGCGCGCAGCTAGGACGGCTCTTGGACCCACCATTGGCGTGGACATAGATGTTCCGCCCATATAGTCAAACAGCGTAGAACACTCCGCTCCCTCTGCTGTTAGGTCATCAGCGGGCGATAGTCAGTAGGCGTTTGTTAGTAGGCGGTATCAGTTGTAGGCGGTTATCAGTAAACGTGTTAAAACCCAACAGCAGTCAGGGGCACAACACACACAGGGAGCGGCGGTGTAGCGACTTGAATGGATTACGCCACAATGGGTTACTTTTATACGTTGGGCTTACTTATACGGGATGGATATACGCTGGTCTATACGCTGTAACATGCGAGACGACGTACGTCCAGCAATTTACACTGCACTTTAGTGGGAACAGAACAGCAGCCAGCGGGCAGAGCATGCTCTGCCAAGCTATACACATATATACACAGCAGTCCACCCACCGTTCGTGCCCCAGGGAAGATGCATACGGTTGAGTCGCAACGCTGTACAAGAAGTTATTAAGGAATAATAATAATAATAATAATAATAATAATAATAATAATAATAATAGTAGTACGCCGGCCGGGGCCTGGCGTGTGTTAAGGGGGTGGGGAACTGAGGGGCGTAGCCGCCCCTGTATGCCCGCACCACCGTGAAGTTATTAAGGACCTCAACGTTCCTTCAACGGAGCTTTGCAAGAAGCCCGCGAACCTATTGACTTTTGCTGAGAATTCGTGTGTTCTCAGCCGAGCTCAGAATGGTACCTCCGAATCAAACCATATGCCCGATGAGACACGAAAGACTTTTGGGCCGCACTAATGCCTTCAAGGAAACCGCAGACCCCTGAAATAAAACCCGATTCCTACGTTTCTCGTCGGGTGGGCGTGCAGTCCGCAGCATGTGCCCGGGCGCGATTAGGTCCGGCTTAAAACGGCCGTCAATGGTGGGTCCGTAACTCGAGTATTCGGCCAAGCTGTCGATTCCCGCGTTGGCCTGCGTCAGCAATGCAAACACGTACTGAATGCCTCCGATTGGAACAGGACTCCTCCAGATCCATACTTAGTGCTGCAGCTTCAATGTGTAAGAAGGGTTCAGCTCCCTTGGCATCTCCCTGAGTACTCTTTGCCTGGTGTTACACAGTGCTAGTGCAGATCCACACCATCCAGACTCCAGGGAAGCCATGATGCCGGGCGCTGCCGAGCACGCTGTTGGACGCTCAGCGCCTCCCCGGGTTCGACCTTTAAAAGACCCTGGCAAGCATTGCCCGCATGCCACGTGCTTTCTTTGGCATGTATTCAGACGGGTAGCAGCAGCAGCAGCAGCAGCAGCAGCAGCTGCAGCAGCGGCCTCAAGCGTCATCTATAAACAGACATTAACGCCGATGCTAAGAGTTTCAGTGATTCAGCCCATATGAAATAAGGTAAAATGCCGAGCGAGCCCCCAGCCAGCTGACAGCACGAAGCGGGATGCTGGCGAAACCTCCATCTCAGGCAGCGGGCAGCGGGCGGCGAACGGACTCGTTCACATGCTGACAGCACCGGCAAACGGCATAATTCGTTCCTCCGTTCGACCTGTAGTAGCTGTCGTATGTAGTAACTGTCGTACAATACGGAAAAGACCATCAAACCTAAATACGCGCTAAAGCACATTCCCAACAGTTTATTCGGCGTTTATTCGGCGGCCAGCTACTGCAAACTATCGTACACACATAGTGTCAGGCCCGGTCAGATATTTGTAACACACAAACACCCCTACACATGCGCATGGACGCACGCACGCACACACACACACACATACATTCCATTGCTCACAAACCTTAGTGGTGGTCACGTAGAAGTTGCCGTACGAAGGGTCTTGAAGGATGCTAACTAGGTCAAGCCCCTGGGCCTGCGAGATGATCAGCAGGCATTAAGTTTAAGTTGGCCAATGTGGGCTCCAGCTGGTGTACACAAAGTGTTGCCCCCCTTCCTTCTTCAGCAGTAGGTTGTTCATGCGCATGAACATGCACATTTATGAACAAAGGATGGCGAAACCGGGCGGAACCGTCGATCAAGCAAGGGGTCATCAGAAGCATCCTGATTCTGGGTACACATTTACATGTCAGCCAAATTGAAAAGGACGACTATGGTTTCATATACCGGTAATGATTACGCAGGCATGCGAATCGCGTTGTTATTTGAATTTGAAGGAAAACGCTCTTCACTGGGATTAAACGTGGGTGGAGGTTTGAATGAACGTGGGAGTGGAACATGACATGGAGTTGCTATCTCTTCACGCGTATATATGCTCTTTCCCATATTTCTTATACATCTCACTAATGTTCCTTTCGCACCACTTCTCCTTCCACTGCTTCTTTGGGCACAGCCGACGCATCCCCATGACCGAGACCGAGGTTTCCGTTCGTACACACATCTACAGTTTTGGCGCGTGCACACACTTCGTTCGAGTGTTCGTACCTGCGTTATCAGGAAAATCGAGAGGCCGTACGTCTCCCCCAAGGGATAGTACAACACTTCGTTCAGGTATGCTCTTCCCCGTGGGTCAGCGAAAAGGATGGCGGCAACGCCCGCTTCTTCTGCGCTCTCGAAAAACGCATCCATGCCGGGGCACCCAGAATCCGGCGGCAACGCCACCAGTACGGCATATGGATTGTACTTGGTTTTTAAGGCGCCACAGCCGTCTAGCGGGTTTGCCACAGCCACCTGCAGGCTCTGATTCATTTGGTGCCATGAAAGGGTTTTTTTCAGCAGAATTACACAATTAGTACTGATGTGTGCCGTCAAGACAGATCGCGAAGCGCGGCGTTGGTGGGTTGCTTGGTGGTGCGTGTTATGTTTTGGTGGACGTGTTGTCGTGTACGAGTGGCGGGATGCGCGAGTGCGCATTCCTGTTCATGTGGAAGGTGGTGAGAGCAGGCCGCGGGTTTGATCTTTCAGGGGATTGCGATGCCGTACTGCGATACCGTACCGTGATGCCGTACCACCCGATGAACCCGTTGTACGCAAAAAGTTGGATATAAAGGGGCATAAATGCCTGGACGTTGTTTCGGTCCTTCAACGACCTTGTGTATATAGCTAGCATGCAGGGCTGTAGGGAAATGCGAGGCATACATGAGCAGTAATGTGCGCGCTAGATGGCGCACCTTCCTGAATAGAAAGCTTGACCAGTCTAACTCGCCAGCAAGCGTTCGAACCCAGACCTGCCAGGGTGCAGGATTGCGGGAGGACCATGCAACAGCAGTAGATGAAAAGCAGCACCCGTGGTAGGCAACGATTTTTATGAATGCAACTTGCAGCATCCAGACCAACAACAGCTTCCGCAGCGTACGAGAATACATATGTGTTTGCACATGTGTATGTATCCACTCACCCACCCTGATCTACCTACTTTTATTAACGCCGGGTGGTTGGCTAGTTTCCAGTTTAAGCAATAACAAGGCCCCATGAAAGCTGTAAGACTTGCTGTCATGTAAAAGGTTTGTCGATAGGAACAGCACCCGCTACGTGAACCATGTTTCGTACTGGCCATGTTTTTAGTGTTCCAGGTTGTTCGCCTAAAGGCCCTGGACCGGAACCAAACTACAGCCACAGCGGCTCCCTTTTTGTTAGAGAATCAGGAATTCCGCCGTACACATTACGGGAAAATGATATCAACGGTGCCCCACAGCTATGCGCGTAGAGATACGTATGTGTGGCAAGTGGCTAAGGACGCCCGTGTGGTGGCTTTTGTAGCTGTGAGCCGGAATGTGACATGGCACGCAAAAGCGCAGCGCATGCATACATACATACATACGTACACACATACACAGGCAACATTAATGACTAACACAGCTCCGGGGCCCTACTTCCGAAAACACCATTCAAAGCCCAAATGAATGAATTCCGCTCCTCCGCGCCTACTATAACATCGCAGAATATGTCTGCTCGCAACTTATAGGCTGCACAGTTGGCCTTGAGAATTTATGCTCATACCCAGCGTTATTTTTTTGCGGAATATATTCCGAATTCGGAATAAAAAAATGTTCGTGGTCCTGAAAGTTAAGAATAAAAAATGTTCCAACCGTACAAGTTCATTCCTCCAGCCAAAAATGGACTGTCCATGCCAAAGCCGCTAGAATTTTACAGGAGACATATATGTTACCCATATCATAGTACTTTAATGCCATGGATACTGTTAGGAAGCTCACGCCCGAAAGTCAACGAGGAATCGGACTGTTTCTGACCGGACCAAACGCTGCAAAACATTCGGAACCGAAGCTCCCAAAGCATCGAAGGCCATTAAAGCAGATATTAAATTTCACTGAAGCCATTAGCGACGTTAATGAAGACGGTGTGGGGGTCGTAGGCAATGTGGACGCAATGCTGCAGCCAGCCGACGACAATGACGCCACTCCGGTTGTCAACAGCGAGCGGGCCAAACATCAATGTTCCTCATATGGATACAATCGCGATGGGCCAGGAAACAGGTTGCGTTTGGTGGTTCCGGTTCATTGCTGCTATGCATCATTACTTCTGCAACCTGGAAAGTCGTGTAGTGTTATCTTTCAACGTGATGCAAGACGAACGATGATGAACGAGCTCTATTCGATCAGTGCTTGAGAGATTGGTGTGCGCGTGTTGCGACATTCCCCAAACCCGGCGATTGCACGAACTAAACTGTAACTCATCGGGGGGGGGGTCCTGGGGGGGGCGGAGCCCCCCCCAGCGCCTTACAGATTCGGAATACCTTTATTCCCGCGACTAAAAACCTATTCCTACGTTCGGACTGGAAAATTAACCGGCAGAAATGAAAAAAAAACACTGCTCATACCCCTGTGAGTCAGCATCCAACTTGCTGCTTATTGCGCCTTTCAAGAGCAACCTCTGCCCCTCTAATCCTGACGGGCTTCCGATGTGCCACGTAAAGCCCCGAGGCTTTCCCCCGCGGCATCATGCCCGCGTTGTCGGCGGTCATGCGTGCCGGACAACACGCATGGACTGCAACATATACATGCAACACGTAAATGCAACACATCACACCCCAAGCTGCTTACCGCTTGCTTATGCACGGTTCGATTCGTATCCATGTACTGGAAGATGGGAACTGTTTGGTCTCCCATGAGCTCCTGGCTTTTCGGGTGGTTAAGGGACGCCCCAACAGACAGTACGTTCTGCGATCGTACAGCCGTGGAGGTACAAAAACAGTACGGAGCGCTTGAGAAGGCAGCAACGTCACGGGCGAGAAACCAACACGGGCCGAGTATGGAAGCTGGTAGCGCGCGTCGATGTATGTAGACGGCACGAACTGAAAGGTATTTAGCTAGTTATACCCGCTTGCTCGCGAACGACCGCGAACTAGCTAGGCCCTTCCATCAATATGTCCTGCTGCTGCCTAAAAGTCGATGTGCGGCATGGTACGGCATGGTATGGATGTGTGGCGTAGTAGGGACACACGGCCTGTGCGCCACCAGATCCATAAATAAAAGCGATCGCAATTGCATAGGTGGTGAAATGTAAGATGCACGTTGAACCGCTTTAGTAACACGGGACATCGGAGGATGTCGTATGCATGCCGTACATACGTACCGAGCACAGCAGGGCAGAAAACATGTTAAAAAATAAGGAAGCAGGATGCTCGTGCAACCAGTTCAGTTACAGGACACGTTAACAAGGAAAAGCAGAAAAGATGAAGAGTTTATGCATATGAGCAAGTACTCAGTACCTTTCCTCGCCTTTGCATATGCAACAGTACTGGCCCTCTTCGTTAATACCCACCTTGGCAGTTCCAGGTGCCTGCACGTTAGGACGCACGCCAAAGTTTCGCCCTAAATGCACGGAGGGGCGGATATGAGGCAAAACGTCATGCATGGTGGAAGGGACGAAGCAAGGTCTAGATAGGGCAAACGTGGAGGGCATTCTCTTGTAGGGCACGACATTCAGCTGCTAAATCAGAGTTTAAAAATTAATGAAGCCGCCGCTGATGAATAGAAGTAGAACATGTACTGATGAAAACATTGTGCCTAGATTTATCTTCCGCGACATGGAAATGGCACCCACTGCTGCTATTTCCCCCCGACGAAGCAGCATACATGGCCAGGCAAGGGCGTTCTGGCACGATTTCGATGTCGGTCTAAAAGTTTGCAAAAAGGGAAGGTGGACCCAAATTTCACAAGCATTTGGCGGAAAGTCCGCGGCAGGAGTTTAATTCGGTTCCGAATCGCCATTTCACATACGTGCGTGCATCGTTCCCATTATAAAAAATAGCCTCCATGCTCATGTAATCCCCGTAATGACCGACAATACAAAATTCCAAAAGAAAAATATAAAATTTTTTAAAAAAATTACTAAAACTGTACTCCTGCCATTTAAGATTTAGCCACGTGGCTCAAATAGAAAAAACATGCATGCTAAAGCCGCGCACCCCAAGCACAAAACGTTGCTGGGGAAAAACAAAATAATCCATCCTCCTCATGTTGGGCCCTGAATGTGTGACAGAGCACCAATCTGACGCGTTGCTGTAACGGTCTGTCCCATCCTTAGCTGAAAGTGTTCCCATCCCCTCCTTTTTACAGTAACGGAAGTACAAAAAACATACATTCTTCGTAAAATAAACGCTTACCGTGGTTGCCTGCGGCCACGCAAGATATGACGTCTGGATTCCGCCAAGCGAATCTGTCGAACTGCTGTGCAGCAACATTGTACGTGGCAGACGCCGCCCAAGCATAACCCCAACTGTCCGATGTGATCCGGGCGCCCGCTCTGAAATGGTACTGCGCGCAACGGGTGAATGTACGGCGGCGCACCCACCAAAACGGGCACGTGGTTACGTAGCAACAGGCATAGCCACCTACAAGGACTCGGTCTACAGCGAGGGAGCGAAAGGGCTTCATGGGGAAGTAGACTTCCTTCCGCACATTTGATGCACGGATCCCGAGTGTGAGATTTCCAAAATAGGCATCGCACAATCCGGAACTCATGCACAATTGCCGCCCGCATGCCTAATTACGACATACATTCCGTGTCAGAGGGCCGCAAGCCACGCTTATTATTATTAACCACTTGATAAAACCCAAACCATGGGGCCATGCCACCTTATGAAATGGCCACGCGACCTTATTAAATGCCTACAGTTGCACAAGCAGCCGCACATGTGTGTGTGTGTGTTACATGGTTGGGGGTGCGTGACCCCATACCTGTAAGACTACCCATACGAGCCGAAGGCCCAAGGGCAATACTACAACGCCTAAAAGCCACGGAGAAAAGGAAAAAAAAAACCGCACATCAGCCCAGACTAGCGTCCAAAGGGGGTAATTGAGTTTCGGTGAGCCCACATACGTTCCAACATCCTCGCCAGACGTGCGGGTTCCCATTGCATGGCCTCCAACATACTCTGTTGATGATCGAATCCCTCTTCAGCACGAATATCATTATAGGCTGGGCATTCCAATAACACGTGTTTTTCATCCTCAATTCGGCTATTAGGACCACAACAGTGGCAAAACCGCTGCCCCCTGGGAACATGGTACTTGCCCCTTCGTGCTCTGTTCGCCTCCAAAGCCCAGCAACATAAACGAAACTGCATTAGCTTACGATGTGCTAAACGAGGAATGAAAACCTTAGCATGTGTTGGCCACATGACGGCTGCGGCTCCCGAAAAGGGCAGCCCCATCCAGTGCTTATACTTCGCCATTTGCACTCCCGGTTGCTTCCCATCTGATGGGTACTCCTCTGGCAAGACAGTCAGACGCGTATGGTCCCAGCCGCTCATCAAACGCTCTCTTAGTGCCGTTATTATCGCTCCTTCTGGTAGAGGTCTACTCAACAACCAGTCAACACGCTCCTTTACCCCCACGACTTCTAGCCGCACATGTGACTGAGGGTAGCGCAAACGAACGTGTAATAACCTGACCCGAAGTCATGACTAACAATAACTTATTACTAAGTAACAAGCCTTGAACTAAAAGTATTGGTGTTGTGCTCACAGGGGACACTCACCGGGAGCAGATCAACGTCAAGCTGGGGGGGCAACATCAACTCGTTGGGAAGGCTTTGAGCGGTCATGTCTACGAAGCTGAGCTGCGCCATCGGCGCCGCGCCCGTAGCCACGCTGTTCACCAAGCCTGACTCGTCCCATACTGATCCAACAAGGGTCCCAGCCACGTGGGTACCATGCATGTCGTCCGAATCGCCGAAGTAGTCGGAAATATCTGGATTCGTCACACCGATTGGGAGGGTGGACGAACGGCAGATGTAGCTCGATGAATATACGGATTGATGAGGGGAGGAGACTGGCGAAGCGCGAGCAAGGTGATGCGCGACGACGTGGCACCGAACCGACTTGCATACTTATACTCTTGGCTGCTAGCCAGTGAGGCACATTCATGAAACATGGGGCTTGCAGTGTGTGCGAAATTGGGCTTGAAGTAAGGATCCAGAACAATAAGGATCCAGCTGTCAATTGCATGAAGTCAGAACAATAATGCTGCAATAAATGTAGCCTCTTACGGATGCAACATATTGGAAATCGGAAATGAAATGGGCTCGCCAGGTGGTGCGGTCAGGGTGGATGAAAGTTTGAAGCTGCTCCGGCCGAACATTCATGAGACCGAATTTTAAGTGATGCTAATAGAAAATGACATTAATATTAAAAGAAAATTAAGTGTTGAGGCAGTTTGGTGACGCTTGATAATTTCTTGCAACCGGAACCGCAACCGCAAACGCAAACGCCTGTAAGGTACGCAAACGGTCAATCACCATCGATTGCGAGGTGTCAAAAGGTGTCGGAAAACTATGCGAGATCCGTGACCTTTATGAACAATAGAAATCCAAAAGTTTGATTCGCAAGTAGGTACGCTGTAGGTACGAAGTGAAGTAGGTTTCGAAGCGTTTCGGAGGGCCTTTCAAAACCGACGATACGCGCAGGCAGCCATCTTTTTCCTGCGCAAAAATCTAACGTATAAAAACCAAAAACATTATAGACTCAATCCCCAACTCAAGGATGCCTAACCAAGCGTGTCTGCCAAGTGTCTTCTCTCGCCCGTCGCCCGTCCACATTCGACTTACTTGCTCCGCTTGGCAACACGTACTGCACCACTTTCCGGTGATTGGGCAGGAAATATCTTGGAGGATCATCGTGAAATAGATTTAGCAGATCAGAAGGAGCATAGTTCGAGTCGCTGAGGAAGCAGCTATAGAAATTGATGCCCGTATCCGCCATCTAGGAGGGTTTGCGAGAAGATTAGAGAAGTAGGACCACACAATGCGCCGAAGGGAAAGGCAGGGCGGGGTTAATAAGGAGCGCTGCAGACCCGGATGTGGCCGTGGTCATGCGGCGGCAGTGAGGAGGGCGGTGGAAAGGATGGGTCGTGTGACGAGCGACAGGATGCAAAGCGGGAACGCATCCGCCGGGACGTGTATGGGTTGGGGTGAGTTGAGGGCGAAAGCCGGGGTTTGTTTAGCCGTTGAGCCGCCTGATAATTCACGTGGAACGTGTTGTGTGTGGGGACGTGCATGAAGGTGTGTGGGGGGGGCTTCATGAAGGTGTGGGCCTGTCCCCGATGCCCGATGGATGTGCAATTATCTTCTTCAGATGGGAGCTCATGCGGATTTCTTGAATGCGCATGTCTGCGTGCGTGATTGCGTGCTTGTGTATGCCGCAACAACCCCCCTCATGTCGGAGCGAGATGGCCAAAAGAATGACGGGTAAACGTTGACGCCGGAAAGTGGGGCCAAATAAGTCATAACACGAGCCTGGGGATAGGAACTGGGGGAAATCCTTACCTGCCTGCTCACCTGCCTGCCAAGCCCACCCACCCAAGGCGCCCTTGCGTCTTTAGAAAGATGAAGCCATGAGGGCCCGTGGCGACAGCATATAGCCTACTTAGGCATCAGTCACCCAGTCGTTCCTCACACCCCGAAAAGCGTTTCCAGAGCCACTCGACGCGTCCAGTACCCCCCTTGGTTTAATCTGTGTCTAGGATCCCCCCCGTGCCCTACATATGGCGTCGCACGTGCCCTACATATGGCGTCGCACGTGCCCTACATATGACATCGCACGTACCCCGATGATCTGGCCATTGCCCATAAGGCCCGCTTTCCAGAATGGCTTTTCCGACGTGTCGGAGGAGCTGAGATACTGTGAGTCCGTTAGGGTGCCTGTTCAGGCACAGTAGGCCACAAGGAAGCAAGTCCATACAGGGCAAAGAAGGAGCCCATTAAATCCGCAAACCCCCCAACTAACGCCAAAATGCATCTTGTAATTGTTTGACGCACAGGAAATGGTCTTATTGAAAAGGAGCCCGCATTTACACCCGCAATGTTATTATTACGCAGCGCAACACCCGATGCGGTCGATATTCACAGATAATCCATTCAGGCAGACCCTAGCAAATCATTATTAACAAGGAAAGGAACTTAATTCGATTTCGTTTCTTAGCAAACATTTGCGAGGCCCGCAAAGCAGAGGCCCTAGCTTTCGTCAGCTGCCCGCTTGGTCGATCTACCCACCAGTCTGGATGATGAGAGCGGCCCTGGTGTTGGCGGGCTGGGCTCGCAGCTGCGGTTCAATCCAAACGGTTGTTGGTGCCGCCGCCATCCACCGAATGCCACGTTCTAGATCCTGAAGAGGTCGGGGAGGGAGGGAAGCGGCAACCGGCCAGCGCCAACCGTTTAGGAAAAGTAATTAATAAATAACTCAGACATGTGGACCCTAAGTTAACAGGTCCCGCAGCTGACCCTCTGGAAATTAAAGAGCGGGTTTTCCTGAGCATGATCAACTTATTACGACGCTCAGTCAGCCTTCGTAATTGCCAAAGTCCGAACTGACTTAGCAAGTACTCCAAGCGCAGGAGCTAAGGGGGATCCGTAGCGGCTAAACACGCAACGCAGCTTGTACGATCTCGTCCATCGGAGAGGGGCCGCTCCGCGAGGCCGTGTACTGGATTTCGGGTTTTTGGACGTTGTAGGTACTTTCTTTCGTACAACATAAAGGACTAAGCATAAGCCGTTACGTGTCTTAGCAGTGCATTAAGCTTAATCACAAGGACTAAACAACTGGATGGGAGCGGCCCCGCCTAATAAGGGTGCGCGTCTCGATTGGTTAGAGCGCACTAAAGTGACCATGCCCCAGCGGCTGCATCAAGTGCTCATGCGTTTCCGGTTAGGCTGTTGGGAGTAATAGGTTAATAGGCCTAATGGGCGTGAGCGCACCGCGCCGACCTGCAGGCTTTGTGACTGTGGAGCGGTTGAAGATGAATTGCACGTTTTTGATGAATGCCCCGCTTACAAGAGCATACGGGCTGAGTACGATGGTGACCTAGTCTTTGAGGGGCGCAGCATGCGCACCATTATGACTGAGGCGCTACCCCTGGCATTGGCCAGGTACCTCTCGGAAATCTGGGAGGCCATGCACGTCGCGCTGAGGCGCTTCACCCTGAAGCGAACGAGGGAGGATGATGATGGCCTCCCGCGTACCCGCATCAATACCACTACAATGTCCTTGGGGCCCCTCCCCCGGCTTTTACGGACACACCCGCACTTGCGTGCGGAACTTGTAACTAACTTGTAACTAACTTGTAATTTAACAGCTAACGCCCACATCTATGGACGTTTTTGGCCCAAGCAAACGTCATGTTACGGCAGAGTCCGGGGGATGAGCCATGCAATGATGTGACCCCCCCCGCGCACCTGCAGGCACAGGTACACAACTAGCCAGCGCGACCTGTCGTACATCCGCATGCGCGGCCAGCAGGCGTCGTCGCCGTCGCCCCGCCGGCCTAGCTCAGAGCCCAGCTGGTCATGATAGATTCTCCTCACGCCCTCAGACTCCAGCCCCGGAACCACCTGCACATGCAGGCCGTACAGATCCGGCCTTGGTTCCGACGAGGCGCTGATGTTGTCGCCACCACGGCTCGTGTTGCCGCTGTAGCCGGCTTCACTGCTGATGGTGCTTCGGCGCTCCATGACCGACTGTTGTGGCGATGACGGCGGCTGCTGCGGCTGCTCCTGCTGCTGACGCTGTGACGGCGGCGGCGGCGTCGGTGGATTAGGTTGTTTCTGCCAGGTATTGAGCTGCTGCAGCAGCTTGCTGATGCGGGTTGGGTCTGCGAGGGGTCCATCGGCAGAGGTGATGGCGTCCGCTACCTTCACATCCTGCTCGTATGTCCCCTGCGTGTGAACGGAGGGTACAGCGCAGATTGGGCAATGCAAGGGCGAAGAAAGTGGCAGAGGCCCCGGGAGGGCCTTCTGCTGGGTGCGGGCTTGCGGAAGCTGGGAAGAGGGGTGTGCGTGTGGGTAACGGGTACGCGAGTTACCAGGGCAGCGGTGGACGAGGCTGGAGCCTCCTTCAGCACAGCTTGCTAAGATGATGTCTCTAAGCTAGGCCGTTCCCCTACGCTTTGGTATGCCTCTCACACAACTGCGGAAACCCGGACAGCGCCAGGCGGTGCAAGGTGTGTGATGGGAGTGAAGTGGGCAGCCATGCGGGCACTCGCACGGAGATGTCCGGAGACGGCATGTTCTGGAGGCGAACTCCCTTGTTGCATTGTGAGGTGTATGTACGAAACCGTCTACGCTAGACAGACACGTAGCTAGTATGGCGGTCTGCCCACATATGGATTGCTGCTGACGGAGCGGTGTGTGCCGACACATGGATTGCTGCTGATGGAGCGGTGTGTGCCGACACATGGATTGCTGCTGATGGAGCGGTGTGTGCGGCACACAGTGTGCCCTGACGCGTCGAACCGTCGAACGAAGATATGAGGACTCATGCTTCATTCACACCTTTCTTCACAACGGTTTACCCTCTTTCACAAGAAAGACACGTGCAAAAACATATTGTCATATTCCTGTGTGGCCTGACCGAACAGTTTTAATCAACAGATTTCGATGCGCTGTAAAGTGTACTACTTGGTGCATATCACTTACATCATCACTTACTTACTTACTTTACTTACTTACAAAGCACGTTAGGAAGGGGCACGCGGCCGCGAAGGTATGAGCACAACTAATGCACAACCCCAGGCACACTTATATGTGGATTGCCGTACGTACCATCAGTGAGTTCGTATTACGCACGGCATTGTGTACGGCATCAGACGGCCCATACACTAGGACTGCGTTCTTGGCGACATATGCCAAGATGTCGCCGCCTTGGCTGACGATCTGGTTTCCGAGATCCTCTCGCGTGTCTGCGATTTGGGTTTTTGCAGGAAGCTTCATCAACTTCAGGCTACACAGAAAGTGCGGAGAGGCTCAAACATGCTGGAACATGGCGCAAACCAATGATATTGGCAAGCCCGAGCAAATCAAGGACCATTTTAAAAAAACACCTATATTGCAACATCCTGCATGATAATATGCAGGGCGATGATTTTTTTGTTAGGCACCAAAGCCTCAGGGCAAGGCTTGCGTGCATGTTTCCGGTCTGGGAGGCCGTGGCTCGGCTTGCGTAGAGTGGACTATTGGTGTCCGGGCGGCTGAGTGGGTAGCATTGGGGAGGAGGCTATGATATGTAGTGCGTGCGGATCATCCACGCCATTCTATACACCTTACTTACCATGCCCGTACTTGATGACGAATAACGCCTTTTCATCGCGTTCCGCGTTGCTAGGCGTATCTGGCCATATCAACGGTGGTGATGAAGGCGTCAACGGCAGCGGCGGCGGCGATGCTGATGCTGATGCTGATACTGATGATGGTGACGATGATAATGATGATAATGATGATGATGGCGATGATGGTGATGGTGTGGTCGGGGACGAGTAATCGGCAAACGGCGGTGATGCCGAATCGGCCAAAGGATCCCTGTCCGCGGTGGGCATGGCGGGCGGTTTTAGTTTTTTTTCCATTCATAATGACTCATCAATGTCCAGACTTTTTCTCCCGCGCGCTCACACCCACAATATGTTGATTCATTAAAATTTAAAATCCAAGCGAAACAGTGCTTACGGCCGATATACAGAGTAAATTAGTATTGGGCATGTGTCCTGCAAACCGCACGGACATCTGGCGCTCGCACCTACCTACGCGCTCCTGTTTTTTTCCAAACATCTCGCTAGGTTCTCGGTAAGCATTTTATATTACTACGCCGGCCGTACTAACTGACATCACTACACGCGCCGAACGAAACACACACACACTCACACACTCGTGTGTATTTTATAGCAAAAGCGATCTCCCAGAAAAAGGAAAAATAAACCCCCACGCCTGTTGTTGGAGAGGGCCTCGCTAAGACCATGCATGCACACGTTTTGTGATGATTACCAACAGCAGGTTAGACACAGACATGATCGCAACGCCAAATGATCTGGTCAGGTATAACAATTGCATGTTGAGCACAAAATTGCATAGAATCAACTGTTTTAATGGAGCAGCAAGGTTAAGGGCGTTACCCTTCTGATCTAATCTACGAAGCAGTTGGGTTAGTTGGCAACAGAGTAGGAAGAAACATTTATCTATCTAATCTTGCTGGGGAGGGCAGCTATGCATGGCGAAGCAAAGCAGCCATCTTTTATTTATTAAAGGTTTCTTCGCAGCCAGCTCGAGGGCCTCCCACTTCAAACATCCAGTCGCGTTCAAGCGCCATTGCGACCTCCCTGCTGGCCTACCGCGGTTCCATGCTCTTGAGGTGCACGCACAGAACCCCCCCGTCGTACGGCATGTTCCAAAACCGGCTGCAAACCGGCTATAGATACCAGTAAGCACGGACATTTACTATCATCGCGCTTCTTTGGAAGGTTGGTGAATGCAAAACTGAAAGCCCAGAAGAATCACGCAGCAAAATAGATGCTGCAATGGGAGGTGGGCCCTGGGGACGCACTTCATGCTGCTGGAAGTTTGGGTGGGCCCCCTTGAGGAGAACCAGCATAACCCCCTCAGTCTTTCCCCCAAATTGTGTGCGCCTTCAACGACGACGTGCGAATGCCTGCGCAAACGTCTGCGTGGCCATAGCGGAATGCTGAAGGGCTTTCCTTTGGCCCCTGCCCGCTAGTTGCCTACTGCCTAATGCCGTACGCGTCTACCTACTCGAGCTTTTCAGTCCTTGTAAATAAGCAGCCTTTTTCAATTCATATTCATCTAAAACGTACGCGAAACATGGTCCGTTACCGGCCGTAGACGTACTCACCTCAGACGCACAATCCCACTTCGTAGCTGGAGGACGGACGACCGCTGTGCAGTAGATAATTTGACTAATATGATTGTAGCAGCTAGGAGGAAAAGCGACTGCAGCGCCTGCATTCGCGAACTGCTGCTGGAAGATTGCTCATAGAGTGAGTTGCTTGGCCGCTTTCAAGCTGCTCTCCCAAGGAGGCCCGTTTTAGCGCAAGTTATAAGCAGTATCCCTGTATGATCTGCAACGCTTCCAGTTATGAGTGACCGGTAGCGACATCGTTCGCCTGCCCCTATCGCTTGGTTGGCGGTACAGTGGTCAACCTATCAAGAATATAAGATAGATATCGAAGGGACGATTTGCTTAAAGCTTGGTGCTCTGCGGTGGCAAAGGTCACTGGCCCAGTAGACCACGCGAATGCAGTAAACGTCGGTATTGAAGCCTGATTGCGTGACAGCAGACCTTGGAGCACCAAAATGGGCTTCGATAATATAATTTTCCTAGGAAAACATTGTGCTTGCCCAAAGCGGGCTGCCACCAATGATGCCGTGTGTCGGTACTACTCCGTCCCCAACCAAGTCCAGACTTTGGCGGGCCGATTAGTAAGGCTCGACTATGAGACCTGGTTTCTTTTTTGCAAGAATGATCTGTTGCTTTCAACGAATAGTCACATGCAGAAAGATTAGCTTCCACACCTGTCGTGTTCAGAGGCGGGAAACAAGGTGAACTCTAATTCCTGTGCAAGCGATGCCCAACAGACCGGCATGAGAGAATGGAGATAATACCATATAACTATCCTGAGCAATTTGAGAGCCATGGATCATAAATGCCTCGCTAGGTTGCATGAAAAAGGGACGCTAATATCTTCACGCAACAGCGTTGCACTAATTTCATCGCAGGCTTTAGCCCTTATAGCCAGAGGTAGCATTCGAGAGCCATGATGTGCCAATGGAGAGTTGACGAATTAAGGCTTCGGTGGGCGGTGCTATCCCTTGCCATCCAGCAGCGAGGAGACCACCTAAGATGAGAAAAGTTAAAGCATACAACTCCAAGCACATCTAACGTTGCGTTATTTAAGAGCAGAGGATGTTCATATTGGAACCCGGCGTACGGTCAGTTTCCCAACAAGTTCCTGCCGGAGAGCCATCAAAAGCGATCAAGTTGGTGCTATTAAGAGCTGCGAAAGCTGGTAGTGTAAATCTCTGCCAAAGGTCGTTGTATACATGACCATAGGGTGACTGCTGTAAATTGCTGTGTTCTGTACGGCTATACATTTTAACGCACGTACGGACGACGCTGATTGGGCAGACCTGTTTAACAGTAAAGATGTGACCACTTTGCTTAAAATGCTTTGGCACGAAAACTTTCTAGCTGGTGGTCAGTTACAGTACTGGTTATGCTCAACCCTGGCCCGGAATTCTATATTTTAGTTTCTTGCAGCAACCGTTTGGTTGGGAATGGATTCAACTGTTGTGTAAAAGCTGCCTTGCCCCCGCAGGCCAACTGAGAGGGCCATCAGCTTCTGCACCAGGAACTTGCAAGACATGTGTATGTCGTATGTAAATATGCTAAGAAGCTGTCTACTTCGCCCGTGCGTGAAAGAAGACGTGCAATATGGCATGTGTTACATTCGGAATGCACTGCTTTTGGATAGCAGCATTCCCATACGAGGCAAATGCGGCTAGAGATATGCCAACAGTGCGACTGCGCATGGGAATGACATGGAGATTTATTGTTGTCACGGTGACCAAACCTCTATAGAAGAAGTCTTTCAGCGTATCTCATGTAACGGACATCCGACATGTTGTTATGCGTCAGTCGATAGCATAAATGATATCAGCTACGGAGCTCCTTGTCACTGTTCCAGTGTTTGCGGAGCCAGGAAAGCGCTGCTGGAGTACGCTGCTGCCTCTGATACTTGAGGTATACTCCATTTGCTTGCTTATTAGATCAAAAGTCTTCCGGTCAATGCCCGTAATGCCGGTACAGATTATGCACCACCTTTTAGTTTCACAAGGCGCACCTCAACCAACTATGCTCAGCAATTGCAGGTCTTTGCTAAAAGCTAAACCCTTGCAAACTTCTTTCCCGGTGCCGTCCGTGGCCAGTCCGTGGCCCATGGCCAGTCCGCTGTAACACGATTCTCCTTGTTCTTGTCCCCGCAAACGTTTCGCCACAGCATGTCGGCAAGATCCTGGAGCGCGATAATGTTGGTGACGTCCTACGGGCCCGACTCGCCTGCAAGCACTGGCACACCTGCTTCACCCGCTGCGTCGCACGCCTCACCCTATATGGCGCCCCCGTACCCCTTCCCGCCGCTGCCAACGACTACGCCTCAGCGTCCCAGCCCTTCCCACCTCCGAAACCACTGGCTACGGCTCAGGATTGGCCCCACCTCGAACTGCAGGCACAGGCACAGCTTCAGCAGACACAGCAGCTGCTGCAACCCGACTTATCCGCCACACCGCAGGAGCCCCTTCCCCATGCAAGGATGCCACCTGGGCTCCCGCGTCAACACCCCTCTAGCCCGCATCCATCTGCGCGCTACGGCCGCCACATTCAGCTCATCCCGTCCCTTGCACCCACCATCAAGCACGTCACTGTCTGCGGTCGCGCCTGTGACCTGGCCGGCCTGCGAGCGCTAGCTGCCAGCCTGCCGTCGCTTACCAGCCTCTACCTAGCTGCTTCGTCGTACCCTGCTGCTCTGCCGCCGCAGCTACAGACGCAGCTACAGCTAACGCCGCAGGCCGCTGCACCGCACGAGGAGTTGAACCCAGTAACGACAGCGGCAGTAGCAGCAGCGGTGGACGCGAAGGCAGCAGCGGCGGAGGCAGCACCCGCTGGGTTAGATCTGCTGCTCGTCCCACGCGGCGGGGGAGGGGGAGGGGGAGGGGATGGTTACTGGCCCCCTGCGCCGCCGCGTCTGGAAAAGCTCTGGGTTGCGTTACATGAGGACGTACCGCCGTACACCCTACATCAACTGCTCCTGCTGCAGGGACCTAGCGCCGTCGCTGTCGCGCCCTTGCGTGAGCTAGGGTTTCTCCCCCCCAAGGCCGTCGGCGTCGACGTCAGTGGCGTCGGCGCAAGCTGGGTGAGACCTGCATTTGTACGACGCATGCCGTACATGGACTTGTCACCGTTGCTTGACCCACGTCTAGCCGGCGTCACGCGTCTTGTGCTGCCGGCGATGAGTAACCGCCGCGAAGAGCAGACGCCGCTGCCGCCGGCGGCGGCGGCGGACGCTCGTCATCGGCTTCCGGAGCAGCGGCAGCAGCAGCAGCAGCAGGAACCGCCTGTACAACGGCAGCAGCAACAGCGCGTCCAAGCACCTGGACACGGGCAGGCAGGCCGTACGGATGGCGCATACGACAGTGGCTCAGGGCCCAGCCCGGGGCCTGGGGCACTAGGGTTTGAAGACATCGTGAGTCGCATGACTCAGCTCCGGAGCCTCACCGTACTGTCGCAGGTGGGCCTTACAATGCTTACCTTGCTTGGTAGGGAAGGGGGATAAAGAAAAAATGTCTTTAGAGTCTAGACTAGCTCTTTTAACTTGTCTGGACAGCGGCGTGTCAGCGTTAAGGTGGCGGCGGCGGCGGTCATGGCGGTGGTCATGGCGGCGGCGGCGGTCATGGCGGCGGCGGCGGCGGCGGTGGTCATGGCGGCGGCGGCGGCGGCGGCGGTGGTCATGGCGGCGGTGGCGGTCATGGCGGCGGCGGCGGCGGCGGTGGTCATGGCGGCGGTGGCGGTCATGGCGGCGGTGGCGGTCATGGCGGCGGCGGCGGTCATGGCGGCGGCGGGGCTTTTTTGTTTGTCCCGTTCCAAGCTATTTATAGACCCGAACAAACCTCGGTGAAATAAAGCCCTAGATTCGGTGCTGCCGCCTCCGCTCGCAGGTGGAACTGTCTTCCTTCTACCCCTCCTGTCTTGCCTCCCTCCCTGGACTGCGGACGTTGGGTCTCCCTGGAGGGGTGTTCTGCGAGAGCGCATCTGATCTGCGACTGCTGACGGGGCTGAAGGCGAGTGGGTTATGACGGTGGTGGGGAGGGGAGGGAGAGGGGGGGTTATGAAGGTGGGGGGGAGGGGAGGGGGAGGGAAGGGGTTATGAAGGTGGGGGGAAGGGGAGGGGGAGGGGGGTTATGAAGGTGGTGGGGAGGGGGGGGGCGATTGGGTTATGACGGTGGTGGGGACGGGAGGGGAGGGGGGAAAGGGGGGAAAGTGGATTGAGTTAAGGAACGATATGTGGGCCCCTTCCCCCCCCACACACACACACACGCCCATCCCCCGCCTGCACACACACACACACACACACGCCCATCTCCCCCCCACCCCGCCTGTCCCCCACTGCGCAGCTGTTAACCTCCCTGGAGCTCAACTTCCTGTCGGAGTGGTGGATGGATGCAGGTGCGTGGGTGTTGGCGGGCCGGCTGACTGGCTGACAAGCAGACAGACAGACAGACAGACAGACAGACAGACATGCCGGAGGACTGAGAACCTGTGCGGGCGCTGGCGGGAAATATTTATGCACAGAAATGAATGCTATTATGAATGAAAGAATGATTACCACGTAATGGATATGAATTGATGACAGAAAACCTTACCCTGAATTTCTCATTGTTTTTGTACCTCATTTTGGTGATATTGCTGTATACACGACGCACTCTTGTACGTATGTATGTACGTGCGTCGTACCACCTAACAGGCGACCTATGTGTGCTCAGCCGACTAGCTCAACTTCGTCGTCTCAAGTTTTCCCTGGATTACGGACTTGAGTGTGCTGACGTCATGAGCGAGGACGAGCAGTACGAACATGGCATGTACGACACTGGTCCAAACTTGGACAAGCTGCCAACGGATCTGGAGACCGGAGCGGCGATGGAGATGGAGATGATCGAGACGGACGCGGGGATGGAGGGGCAGGTTTTGGAGCAAGGACGGGATGTTGCTAACGTGGCCGTGGTTGCCGTGTACGACAGGCAACAGGGCCGACGACAGCGCCACGAACTGGCTGGCAATGTGGCCGGCGAGGTCAGCGGAGGCCAGCGGAGGAGGAAATACGACACGGTGGACGAGCTGGCGAGGGCGATGGCGGCGGTGTTGGGGCGCGGCGTCGTGCAGCGCGGTGCAGCGCGGCACGTGGCGTACGGCGCGTCGTACAGCGATCCCGGCGCCGGCGATGACTGGCGGGCGCCGCTGGGCTGCCTGACGCAGCTGGAGCGGCTCGAGATGTCGCTGAATAATGGCGGCGGAAGGCACCTGGCGGAGGCGGTGCATGCTGCAGCGGCGTGGATGACGCCATCATCGCCGTCGACGGCGGCGGCGGCGACGGCGGCGGCGGCAAAGGAGGGTGAATGTGACGGAAGCGGAAATGGCGGAGGCGGAGGCGGCGTGTCGCTGACGTTACGGGACGCGCCGGCGGCGGCCTTCTTAGATGTGCCGTACTGGTACAAGGTGGCGACTGGCTCGGCGGCAGCAGCAGATGTAACGACGGCAGCGGCGGCCGTGGCGCCGTACTGCGCTGGGGCTTTCATCGCTGCTGCTTCGTATGGCGGCGCCGCAGGGTGCGTTCCGCTCTCGCCGGCCCCGCCGCGGCGTGTGGGTTTCGTTGGCTCCCCGCTCGTCTCCCTGAACTTGGGCGCAGGGCGCGGCGCTCGCGTGTCGTACGGGCACATTTTATGCCTGGGCCTTATGACCGAACTGCGGTCCCTAACGCTGTCCTTCGAGGTTACGCCGCCACCTGCTTGTACGGCACGACCATCCCCCGCCAGCGGCTGCAGCGTCGCGGCCGAAGGGCGCTACGACAAAGCGGATCGCACGAACCAATACGACAATCCTCTGCTCGTCCTATCCCGCCTCCGTCTCCTGACGGAGCTTCGAATCCATATCAAGCAGCCTCAAGGGTCGGCGTACGGCATTTACGAACCCAGCGCCAGCGATAGCGGCGGTGCCGCATTCTTGGTGGCCGCGCCGATGGACGATGACGTCGTAAGTCGTGCATGGAGAATATGCCGTCGCTGACGTCGCTGGCTTTGCGCGGCGTCGGAGAGCTGGGGGAGGGAGCGCTGGCGGCGGTTGGCCGCCACGGCGCGCTGCGCTCCCTGGAGCTACGTCTTAAGGTATTCCCTCCGCCGACATCGTCGTCAAATAGTCCGAAGCCGAAATGGGTCACTGGGGCCGCTGGCGGCGGCGGCGGCGGCGGCGGTGCCGCCAGCAGCTCCATGCCGGGCATCGGATACGGCAGTTACTACGCGCTGCGCGCCGCGTTGGCGAGACCCGGAGCGGCTGCCGCCGCCGCCACCGCCGCCGCCAGCGGCGCCGTCGGCATCATCAGCCTCTTCGACAGCAGCGCCGTAACGCCGCTGGGTGTCTCGCCACAGGGCCCAGGTAGCTACGCGGCCGGATGCGGCGCCCAAGGTTACTTGCCGCCGCTCGTACAGGTGGACAGCGGCAGTAGCGGCGCCGCCGCTGCCAACGATGTGGCGGCAGCGGCGGCGGAATCTGTATGTCGTTCTGTAGACTGGCGGGAGCGGCTGCTGGCGGCTGGGGTACAGGGCAGCGAGGAGCTTCTGGCAGGTACGGGATCCGTACGACAGGAAGGCTGGGGAAGATGGGTGCACATGTGGGTGCTGGGGACATGTCCTTGAGGAAGCGGTGTCGTACACAATGGACGCGGTCTCCCCCCCCCAATTCGTACGCGTTGCAAAAGCCTGCCCGCCCGTTGTTGGCACTTGGCTGCATCATCTCGCACAATGCAGGAAGTGAAGTGAGTGCCTGCCTGCGGAGTGGAGACCCTGCAGCGGCGCACAGGACAGAGCGTTGAGACCGTTGAGACCGTTGAGACCGTTGAGAGCAGTCCTTTTAGCCTTTCGTAGCTCGAGGCCTCAAGCCATACATATGATTCGAAAACGCGAAAGTACAACCTGCCCGGTAAAGCTGATCTTACTCACCGATTTGTGATATGACTGGCGCGGGCTCGTCGTCCATTTCGTACGCGTTGCAAGCCTGCCCGCTCTTGTTCATACACACTGATGGGCAGGATCAGCTGCTGGGTAGCTGTCGTTTCGCTTTTTCGTGTATCACCAGTATCGACCTTGGGAATGGCAAAGTATTAGAAAGGATCGGGACGAAGAGGGTGAAGCTTGGGAGCTCCGGGTTAGGGGGTTAGGGGCCCGGAAAATACCGTACGAACCGTCCGGAAAGAAGATGGACAGGAACGGCAGGCATGACAAGCTCGTCGTGCTACAGCCGTAAAGCCGTACTTGATCTTCCAAGCCCTTCCCCCCCCAGCTCGCAACTTCCCACCCTTGCCGCCGCCGACGGCTTTGCGGCGCCCTTTCCATTTGTCACCTGCAGATGTGCCGTACTTTGTACGGCCTCACCACTTGCCGCCAACGCTGACTGCGTTGGACCTCACCAACGCCGCCTTCTCAGCTGAGTGGGCCTTATGTACACAACTGGCCGTGCCGCCGCCGCCGGCAGCGGCTACAGCTACGGCAGCGGCGGCGCCGCCGCCGCCACCTGGGACGCTGTTGGAACCCCCACGGGGCAGTCCGTCCGCCGCCGCCGCCGCTGCTACTGCTACTGCTACCGTTGCAACTGCTACTGCCACCTCTGTTTCAAAGGATCCATGGATGTCCGATGCGACCAAGGACGTGCAATTCGCGCATGCTGGCGCTTCCATTTCCCACTCAAATTCGGACTTTGGAAACATTGATGACCCACGGGTCGCAACAACAGCTCTCCAGATGCCGCGTCTCCTGTCGCTCAAGCTGACTCGGAGGCCGCCCAAGCTGAATCGGAGACAGATGCTCCAGCGGAAAGGCAGGAGGGGGGGAGGTGCAGTACGAGGTTTCGGAGGTGCCGAGGTTGGGCACCGCAGCTCCTAGGGCGCGGAGGGGGACGACACGGTGAAGCTCCTGGGTGGTTGAGTGTGTGGGTGTGTGGATGGATGATGGAGCGTCTTGGTTGAAGCGAGGCGACTGAGGTAGTGGGTGTGTGACGCAGCGACTCTCCCTCCGCCTACTACCTGTGCCTGCTTGACTGCCTGCCTGCCTGCTTGCATCATCGTTGCCGGCATCTCCGCCCATTCCGCACAGTTGACGTTTTTTCCTTCTCCTCTTCGTTATCATCATCATCATCATCGTCAGCAGCAGCAGCAGCAGCAGCAGCATTATCATCGTCAGCAGCAGCAGCGGCAGCCGCAGCAATATCAGCAGCATTATCATCGCATCACCATCACCATCAGCGACATTAAAATCATCGTCAGCAGCACCATCACCATCACAATCACATGATGTTACGACACCTAACCCACCCACCCCCTCCAACCTCCCTCAGGCCGCCGCGAAGGGGCCCTGGACCCCACGCGAATTACCGACTGGCACCTAGTCCACCTCACAGCCTGCCACCCCACCCTGGAGCGCCTGGAGCTGTACGACATAGGTGACGATGGATGTGGTTTCGGAGCGGCGGAGGCTCCGGATGTCAAACTCCATCACAGGGCGGTTGCGCAGCTGGGTCGCCTGAGGTACCTGTACGGCCTCCTCGTGGGGTCCCCTAGCTGTGTAGGGGGATATACGGGGGGGAGGAGGGGGGGCAAACCCTAAGACGAACCACAAACGAGTGAAGCTGCTGCCAGGGTATGAATGAGGGAGGAGGTGGGGGGGGGGGGCCAGCAAAGCCACGTGGAGGGAAAACCACAGTGAGCCGTGGACAAGGGAAAACCACTACCTTGCGATAGCAACTGCCTTCCAAAGTTGCAAACTGCTGGGCGAGTCCAAAGCAACGACGCGACTGCTGTGTCAACTTCAGTACCAACTTACTTGGGGTTTAGGGATGCAGAGCGGGGGTTTTAGGGGTTTTCAACATGCAGAGATGCGCAAGTCTATGTGTTGGGTGAAGGCGAACATTACGAACAACAGAACAACAGGCGACAGGAAGGTGCCTAAGTGTTAAGTCCGAGCATCAAGTCAGTTTCCGATTCCGAACACATTTAATTAATAACATTTTTATTAATATTAATATATTACTAATATTAATATTAAAATTAAAAAAACATTTTAATAACATTATTTATTTAAAACCTTCCACCGAAGAGGGCTTTCCGGTGTCCTGAAAGTCGGCCAACACTGTTGTGCAACTTATGCGCTTTAGTTGTCGGCAGTTGTTCATTTCGCTTATCGCACCATATGAATCCTCATCCTCCCCAAACCCCCTTTTTATGAATTAAGTTCCCCGTTTTCTGTGTTGCCCGACCGGCAGTTATCTGGAGTCGTTGACGCTGCGAGTGGGTAACCGCCTGCGTTGGCGCGCGCAGGTACGGCATGTGTACGACATGATAATGGATGCTGCTTCCCGCCCTTCGGGCATCTTTCTGTCGGGCCTGAGTCGACGAGATGTTTTTAAGCCTAGGTGCTCCCAATCCGTATGACTGGCCCGGTATTTGCAATCCTGCTTATTCGAGAACATCTTTGGCAGTTTTCATCGCATTAATTTTAATGACTGGGTTTTCGTGTGTTCTTTTGGCTGACTTCCCCGTTCCCCTTCCCCGCACATGCACACATGCACACACGTACACGAAAACACGCGCACATACACACACACGCACGCACATACACACGCGCGCAGGAGGCCCTCATGACCTGCCTGCCTGTGAATCTCCGGCGGCTGCATCTGTATGCGTCACACATCTACCGCGAGGCGCTGGAGATGGCGACAAGGCTGGTGCACCTGTCCTCGTTGCAGGTGAACGTACTGCAAATAAATGCCGTACACGTCCGTACACGTCTCCAGTGGTAGCGCCACACACGTGTTTCTGACCTCTCCCCTTCCTCGGACCCGCACGCACATACCGCTGCATGGCGCTGGGGGGGGGCCTAATGCCGTGAAGTGTCACGTTCGATGGCGTGGGTTTTTTCATACCCCGGCTTTCGTTCCGCAAAGATCACATTACGATACAGACAGACAGATAGACAGATAGACACCACACACACATTGGACACGGGAACCTCGCCTCCTCGGCCTGCGTGCGGCCTGCAGCGTATCACCTATTTTGCCCCGTACGGCCATTATTTTTAAATCCTGGTTTCGGCATACCGTTTTAATCGTTGTACGAGCTTTTCCGTCATCACTCGTCAGTACAGGTGTGTTAGGACTGAAAAAATAACAGTAAGCTCCTGAACCCCGCTCTCTGCAGCGCCGTTATGTCTGACAATTCCGTTACAACGGCCGTTATTCCGTTACGTTTGGCCGTTAATTGGCGCCAGGTGGTTGGTTACTCGGAGCCGAGCTACGTGGCGGAGTTACAGGCGGCTGGTGAGGTGGTTAGCCGGCAACTGCCGTCCTGCAGCTTGCTGCTGTGGCCTCGAGATGTTGACCTCCTGGTGGATCAACACCGATGATTCCGCTGACCAGCTGACGGTGTTCCTCTCTCCCCTTCCTCTCTTTTTGGACGTCGTCGTCGTCAGTTGCGTCGTCTCTCCCGGGGCTGCGGTTTATACATAGGATTCCCCGCGACCACGTGTTGCTCTCCCTCTCTCTCCCCTCCCTCTCTCCTTTCTCTCTCCTCTCTCTCTTCCCCTCTCTCCTTCTCCCCTCTCTCTCTCTCTCTCTCGGCCCCCTTCTCTCCCTCTCTCCTCCTCCCCTCCCCTCTCTCTTGTCTCTCTCTCTCCTCTCTTTCTCTCTCCCTCCCGCCGCGCTCTCACCCTCGGACGCACGCCCAGCTTGATATTTGCGGGATGTGAGTAGCAGATCCAACTGTCGGTGTACCGGTGGATGGGCAGGGGGCGATGGAGGGGTAAAGCTTTTCGGGTCTGAAGCGCATTGCGTGTGTGGTGGAGGGTGAAGGGAGGGAGAGTTTGAATCTGTGCGGGGGGCCGGGGGGGATGATGTCGCGATTTGGCGATATTGTCGGTGACGGTGGGCTGAGAACGGGTTGAAAATTGGGTGTGCACGGTAAGCTGTCTATGGTGCTGGTGGTTTCGTATGACCTTGTTGGAGCTGTTACGATTCTTTAAATGCAGGAGAAGACAACATCGATTAGGAAGTATTTCTTTTTTATTTTTCTTTGATTTCACAGATAGATTAAAGCTATAAATACATTGAATGTCTGGAATAGATATGTTGCTGAGGGGGTTTGCCACTTCCATGGGATGTAAGGATCATGATAGTTTTAGCGCGGCTTTGGTGCGGTTGAGAGGTTGGCGACAATTCGTGTCTTCAGTGAACGCATCGCAGCATCTTCAACCGGAACCGGCAACGGATCATGCTTGTCGACGCTTCATTTTTATTGTTTTACGCAATTACTTGTTGGGCAGTGTGTAATGGTCAACGCACGCAGACAGCTGTTCCCAGGCAAGGAGGGCTGCTGACGGCTGTCTGGGAATTCGGAGCACCTCCTTGTCGTGACGCAAATTCAAAAATTAAAAAAAATTGACGAGGTAGAACATGTTCCAGATGCTCCAGGGGCTTAGCCCAGTTTAATTAAACATGTGTACGTTGTTTAAAATTGAAGAAGCTCAAACTAACGAACACGTTTGCCGTTTGTCGAGATCTCAAAATTTCGACAGGATCATGATAATGTTCGGCAGCGAGCTGGATGCGATAGGCTGCGATTGCCGTGTCCGACAGACGCCCGCTTGCTTCCTCTGGTATTTAATCTAATTGGCCGATGATTTCCTCCGGCTGCAAAGCAAGGATGTCCTGGTGAAAATGGAAGTTGCCAGGTTCAACCATGGACAAAGGAAAGCCCTGGTCTTTCCCCTAAGCAAGGAATGACAACCGCACAATCCCTAGTGTGCCCTGGTGTGCCGCAGTGTACCGCAGTGTTCGCAGCACCAGGGAAACGCACGCCTTTATAAAAATATGTAGAAAAGAATTCACTCATTCAACTGGTGTTAAATAGTAATTTCGCAGGGGAAGCATCTTTGCAGCATTCTTATTTCCATGGCTAATCTCCGCTGCAATCTCCGCTGCATGTAAATCCAGTCACCTTACGGCGGGCGAGATTGAAGACATCATCTTCTTCTATCGGCTTCCTCAGCCTATTTTGCCCTTATCCAACATCTAATTATATATCTTCGGTATCTTTTTTGGTATTACGTTGCGTCGGCGGACGCAACCGCGGACGTAACGCGCTGCGATAATAAGCAGAGCCTCGATTTCTCGACATCTCTTCAAAAGGCCCCCAAATAAGCCTTTACATCTTCCACATCACAGACCTCGCGCTCGAGCAGCTCACGCTTTTGGGAGAGGGATCACTTCTCAGATACCTCTTAAATGTGCGAGCTGGTGCGAGGGCATATTCACGGACCGAAGGTGGCCCTAAGGCCGCTTTTCCTCTCCTACACCTCTCCCAAACTTTCAGCCTCTTTCAGCTCAATCTTTAGAAAACATAAACATGTGCGCCAGCTTGCCGATTTTTTGTCTGTCTCCAAGGTCTCCATACCTGCCACTCGTCCCTCGACTTCACCTCGCTCGGTGCTCTCCCTGGATTTGATATGCCTAAGCCACCACTTCACCGGGAGCCACGGCGGGCCCGGGACGAGAACACACGGCCGTGACCCGATTCCGCTCTCTCCCTCCTCTCTCTCCCATTTCCTTCACCCAACAATGTAAAAGGTGTACTTGTAGCCGTCGGGCAGAAACGTAAGGGGACCTGGCAGATCGCACGTAAGAGCCGTCGAATTGGCTAGCTTTTGGCCGCAGTACAAACTGCTACGGGAGCTTCGTAGCGCCACCTGTGTGGCATTGACCAGCTGGTCGCCCGCTGGCGGGCCGGTAAGCCGTTCCATCCTAAACCACTGCGCATTGCCTAACGTTGTCTCCAAGTCGAAGTCAACCTGCGAAATTGAGGTGAATGCGTGTTTTTACATTTCTGCGCATTAATGGTGAACTACTGGAATCTTGAATGGATATGTGAAATTGTTGCGGGATTGGAGGAGAAGAGTCAAGAGCAGCATTTCCTAAACTGAAGCATTCGAGAGCATTCCTGGCAGGGCGAAGGGTTGATGGACGGGACGCGGGATGTTGTGCCGGGGGCCCCGGGGACACGTTTGCCGACCGGTCTCACCCTCCCAAGGGTGATAATCCAAGCAACGTGAGCGCAAAATACACACGACACACGCACAGGATGTGAGAAAATGTGAATTTGTGATTACGAATATCAACATATCTTCTTCCCTATAGCTGCATGCTTTCTTCCAGGTGACGAAGCTGAAGGCGGTCCGGGCGACCCGTGGGTCTGTCACGACCCGTGGGTCCTTTCTGGCTCAATAAGGAATGTTAAGGTGTGTATGCTCGTTACTCACTGTAGCGTTCTTCTCCATCCAGGTCACCACCTGCAAGTGCATCCAACAAAGGAGGGGGAAAGAGGAGGGCATGGCCAGGGCAGCCAAAAGAAGTCTGGAATGGCAAAACCCGCAAACGGTCAGTTAAAATAGATGTCAGCGCTCCGAGAAGGCCATGAAAGAAGCTGTGATATATTGAAAATCACAAATCGCAGTGTGCAAAGCTCGAAGCAGATTGTAAGTCCATCGTCTGAGAACTTACTGAGGAAAGTGTCGTAATACACTCACGTGGTACGTTTGCCAGTCGTCGTACACCTTGAATGACACGTTGGCGCCCGCCTCAATGGCTGGCGTCCCTGGAGTCTGCAAGGCGACTGTCAGCAGGGCCGAGAAGCCCGGGAACACGCCGCTCCCACTGCTACAGCCGACCGTTGCCGGAGCACCCAGACCACCTGTGGGCCGAACACACACCGTTAAGAGAACCGTAGCAGGATTGTTGAGCACGTATTGTTGAAGCGCTCCCGGCATGCGGTACGGCTTATCCTGTCGTACATGAGTAATATTTGTATAGTCGTTATGGATTTAACAGTTATATGTGTGTGCCACAGCAATTTGCCTCCTAGGAGAGGAGCATAAAAGAGGGAAGATGCGAACGGGGGAGGACGGAGCACACGAGCACACTGCGCACAACGCTGCTTTGCCATTGGCGAGGAGGAGAGCACACCGTACACCCGTACATACTAACCGTAAAAGTAACCGCCGCAGTTGCTCCGTGACAGCTTGTTTTGGAGCTGCACCTGCACGAAGGAGCTTGCGGCGACCTGGAAGACGGTGGCCCCGGTGCGGTTGGCGGCGCAAGTAATCTGTTGGCTGTGTCCGCTCCCGCGCAGACTGTTGCACGGATATTGCATGGAAAAGCAGAAGGACGTTCGCCGTGATACGGCGGGAGGTGAGAATAGTTGATGGTTGAAAATCGGCCGGAATTTATAAAAATCGGTTCTGCGTTTCGATGTAGGTTTAGGATAGCGGGGAAGTCATCCCTCCACTGGCAGGCGGCGCAAGCAAATCTTCGGATTGCGCTGTCGGCAGCGTTGTAGCCTTGAAACTGAGTACTAAACGAGGCGTCGTACTGTACGGGGGAGGTTTACCGGATAAATCGGCGTTTTAATGGTAATTGGAGAAATTACAGAACTGGAAAAAAACGAAAATGCACTGCCCACCAGGCCACGTGAGGTAACCCATCCAAACCCACCTACAGTAACCGTTCCTCACACGAAGCACCAGATCGTCCCTTCCCAGAGTGATACTGCCCTGTACGGCACAGACACAGTCAATGGCAAAAGCAAGTGAGTCGCTAACCAGCAGCGGCAGCAGCAATCTCCCAAGCACTAGCAGTAGCAGCAGCAGTAGCAGCAGCAGCAATAACAGCAGCAATAGCAGCAATAGCAGCAGCACTTGCAGTTGCAGTAGCAGCAATAGCACAGCAGTAAGGCAGCAGCAGCGGTAGCAGCAGCAGCAATAACAGTAGTCGTAGGGCAGCAGTAGAAGTAGCACCAGCACCAGCACCAATAAGGGCGGCACCGCAACTCATATGCCGCAGCTCGAGGCGTCGACGACAAAACATATGAACGTAGGCTCACGCCCTCCGCAGGTAAAACCGGATGCGGCATCGGTGCTACGCCCCCGACCGCGGGATGCATAGGGAGGCGCAGGCGGGGCACCTGCTTCCTTCCATTCCCCGCCATGGCGGCACCCCCCCCCTGTACTTCGCCACCCCAATGTAGTTCCCCACCTTCGCATCATCCACCGTCCACACACGCCCCATCTCTGACTCTACCTACGACTCACCGTCCCAGAAGCCTTCTCGATAGTAAAGGCGGTGCCATTTTGGTGACCTGGGACGGCGGCGGGAAGACACGTTACCCAAGTGCGGCGGATGGAAGCATGCAGGTGCGCGTGTAGAGGGAATGGAAGGAAACAAGATATGGACGCCGCTGGAGATGAGCTCGTCAACCCGTACTCGCATCATTCCCAAAGCAACATTTTTCCAGGGCATACCCGACGCCGTCACTACCAACAACAACACTATTGCCGCCACTGCCACCACCACCACCACCGCCGTTGTCACCATCACCGTCACCACACCCTATCAGAGCTCTCACCGCACTCCACATTGGACTTCAGCTGACAGTACTTGTACGGCACCGGGTTATTGATGGTGATGTAGACGTTGTCGCCGCTGTTGAAGCTGTTGCTGCCGCCACTGCTGCTGCCGTCCACCTTTTGAAGGTTGCGGCGGGTTCGAGTGGTGCAGTGGGCAGGAGGCGGGGGGAAGAGAAGGACGGGGGCGGCCAGGGAAGGGAGGAAGGCCAAGGGATGGCATGAAAGAATGCAAATAATTCACAAAAGGAGAGAAAAGAAAGATCAGATTAGGGCTTGCAGCAGGGTTTAACGCCGGCCTAACGCGGCTCATACGCCGGGGGGCCTTCCCGTGTCGCCAGTACCTCCAATGACCCACGGGTCACACTCCAGTCCTGACACGCGTAGCAGCACGAGATGTCAGTGAATCTGTCCCCGTCCTCGCTGATCGTCGTACAGGGGTCCAACAGACTATAAAAACCGAAAACGACAGCTGGTTGATGTCGGTTGCGGCATGTACATCGGTGTACGGCGGATCGTGCTACACTTAAGATGAAGTCGGGCGCTTGACAACCCATCCTACCTTGATAATTCGCCACATCCAGTAATGGTCGTACACAGGCCAGGTGCAGTACATACGGCTTGCGCCGTACCCGCCCTTTGGTGGGAAGTCACGAAGGGCGCAGTACGAAGCCGCTGTAGGACGGCAAGGCCAATGAAGGGTGCGTGAGAGTCGGTGTGTCCGCCTCCAAAGTCAACTGACTGTACAAATTCGGGCTCGGGTTCCCTAGAAAAGGACAACATGGCCGTCTACTGTCTCGTCGTGCCAAAACTATATGCGTAGGGGACGAACTTTTACCGTTTTTTGGCTTGATTGAGTACCACCAGCCGGCTGCGCAGATGTGGAAGAAGGAGGGTTAAGCATTTCGAGCCTCGGCTGCTAATATGGCAGCCAGCAGGATGCTTAGCCAGATGAAAGGATGAATGGCTGGCGACGCAACATTTTGGGTCATGAAAGCCGTGGCGACGGCACATCTGCAACAACAGTAGCTTCTCCATATGGGCGGGCGTATTACCTGGGATACGACTAGCTTGGGTGATGCGGCGCAATAAGTGCACATCTTGTGTGGTCCTGGCATCTACTAAGCACAGACAGGCGAGGAAGACAGCCGCGATGATCGCTGTGCACATCGATGCCCAGGGAGCCCTGTGTGGAGTCCAAGTCATCGCCATCATCAACATCATACAATCAAGCCTAATCATTTGTTAATGCTGCTATTTATGTATGTTCCATACCTCATGTCCACTTGGGTTCGTAAACTTTCATAACCGACACCGTACGGGACGAGCACTGATAAGCCAGGCGACCCGTTCGCTGCCTAATATGACTCCTCCTTTTCAGATGCAGGTTTCCTTAACGAATAATATATTTTAATTATAACTGTCGGGTCTCCTTTCCTCGTGCGGGGGTCATCTTATTTTGCGCGTTCTACGCCGGTAACCACTGGCTTGCATCAGCACCTCTTCCTTAACCTGATATATTGCACGATAATCAAACATCAGCCTACATGGTTACTCCTGTCAAAATTGAGCATCGCTGTTCAGCGCGTTCGCATAGGCCATCAGAATGCGGAAGCTGCGGTAGGAGATCCGCCATAGGGAGGCGTATCGTTGCAGGCAGCAAGTTATGGCAATTTACCCACAATCTTCAAACCTAAGATTATGGGATTTTCACAATTTGCAAAGGATTCTTTGCGATGTTTTTTCATGGTTTCCGAGTTTGAAGTCGCCATCCGGGCGATGCTTCGAGGACTTCACGAGAAGCACATTGGGCATGCTTACATATAATACATGTGAGGTTTATATAAGACAACGATAATGGGTGTAAAACGCGTCAAGGAGGGCCCCGACTTTATTGGTCAAGTCCAGTGCACTCGTAATAGTTGTCGCTACGCAGTTCTTCAGTAATCATCATTATGCAGATCACATATCTTCGTGTTGTCAAGTAAGACAAATCAGATAGCAGCTGGCCCAACGGATGCTCTTATCAATTACGCCGGATAAGTGCTCAACCAGCAGGCCAACAAGTTTCTGTGTCGCAATCAACTATTCTAGCTCAACATTTATCTCTACCAAATCGCTTGGGCTGCTGGTCCGGAATTTCCGAATAAGTAACAGCATCCATCCACTCACCCGCCGGCGGGGCACAGCCTAGCAGCCGTGCCTAATCGCTTTGAAGTAAACGGAAATTTCGTAAAACAGCTGAATACCATTATGCAGTCGGCACTTGGCAGCTTTGCGTCACGACGCCAGTATGTCACTTCCTACGATGATCCTATTCGCACCATTCCGTGCGCACAACAGAAGTGTAAGTACTTGTCCATATTCTTCTAGTCCATCCGGCGAAGAAGGTTTCTCCAATCGGGTCCAACACCGGTAGAATCCAATTCATTACAAGGATCCAGGTTTTGCAAGCTATTTACGCATCTTGTGCTGCGGCACCCTGCTGATGATTTGCATGGTTGAGGGAAGCTTTCAGTGACACCGACTGGCAGGTGCCCTGTAGGGCTGCACTCGATGGAGGCGTAAAAAATGCTCAGGCAGGCAGCAACTATAACCCGCTGTAACCCGTTTCCTCAAGGCGCTTCAATCACGCATAAAACTCGCATCCCATTTGACCTATCCTTTTGCGTTAGGAACGGTCAGGAGCCTGATGATGAAATGGATGTAGTTGTCTTTTGTCAGCGCCACAAGGTTGAGCTTTTGTCCATACCTGTCGATATCCACCGCACCAGTGCAAACGATTCACGACATGAAGGTGGTGTTTTCAATTGGCAACCAGAAGCCTCCCAATCTGTAACAACATAGCATTGCAATACATCAAGGTGGTGCACATGCACATGGCTATACTGCTCAATTTGCCTTTTACAGATGTGGGGAACACCACGGTCATGGATTGGGACGTGCAATTGAAAAAAAACAAAGGTTGGTCTCGTTTCCAGCACATCTCCATGCTGCACCTCTCCATGTTGTGGCGTGCGCAGGCAGGGCGCCTATGGGCTGCATCGTTTTACGTGGCATATGGAGTAGGGGGGGCTTCCCCCAGGAGTGAAACTTATAAACATAGAGGCTAAAGCTGCCAAGCTTATGGATCGGGACCTGGGTCCGGCTGCACAGGACAGACAGAGCTCCTGGGGTTCCTAAGAATTTGTTATATGGCCATCCATCTTCGGGCGGTTTTGGGGCATTAGCAGTCCGAGAGCATGTTCAAGCGCGATGGGCGTGCTGGGCTATGCGTTTTGTGGGGTGATAGTCCAGCCAGTTTTGACACTTGACCGCGTTGGGTGTGTTGGTCATGCACTCTCGTTCCTGCATGCCCTTTACCCGACGTACAACCCCATGTGTCTATTATATAAGGATGGGATTCTGTTGGGTCACATCACCCCATGATTTCTTTTGGGGGGGACTTATGGGGCACCGGCCTCACCTAGTAACGACTCCCTTGCAAGTTCCCGTCAATATTTGTTGGTGGGCCTTCTGACGGAGGTCCGCGGACTTCCACCAATTGAAACAATCGAAAACCAATGGCACATCCCCTACCTGAACCGTTTCCTCCCTTTCTCTCCCTCCCTCACACACACACACACACATACACACATACACACACACAACATGCACACTCATACACACGCGCACACACACACGCGCGCGCGCGCATGCACACACACACATACACCTGACTCGTGAGAGCGTGCACGCGTGCGACGCCTCCCAGCCCCGGGAGAGGAGAGCGGAGCTTGCGGACCTGCGGCTCTCGGCTGCTTAGGAGCCCGTCTGCGGGCGGGAGGGAGCTTAGGCGGTCTTTCCGTTGGGGCTGGGCAGCAGCCCCTGGCCAGTGTCAGGCCCGGTCAGATACTTGTAACGCTCACACACACATGTACACACATACATACGTCTACATACACACACAAGTACGATACCTAGTCCTTACCCCGCGTATTTCGTGCATACAATTATTCAAGCATTCATGTATTTCAACAAACGCACTACGATGAGAAGTTCATGTCCTCTGGGCCAAGTGCCTTGTAAATGCAGTAGTCGCCGCTGCCGAGGAAGACCACAGTATAGTTACTCTCGCCCGCACCGCCCCATGCCGTGCCATGCTCCAAGCCACGCCACGCGACGGGCGTGTCAGCGAAACCCCACACATGTACGGCAGCCCAGGGCACCTGCTTAGCGACCACCATAGCCGAAGTCGCCTTCATCACATCGAGGACCTGCACCACACCAGCAGCATCAAATACAGCAGCAGCAAGGAAGGTGGAATGGAGACGGCAGGAGTAGTATCAGCAGCAAAAACCTACTTGAAATAAGCACCAGGAGACGTGGCGCAATGGATAGCGCATCAGACTTCGGATCTGAGGGTTGTGGGTTCGAGTCCCATCGTCTTCGTCCTCGATGTCATGGAAATGTCATGGAGATCTTGACTATAGGAAGTCATAGCCTCTAAGTAAGGAAGTCATAACCTCTAAGCATTTATGGATACACATCAGGCAATACGTAGTTACGGCAGCAGCAAAACTGCACGATGGAATGTCTTAAAGTAGGAAAGAAAGGTGCACGGGAGACATCATGAAAGGAAAGAGATGGGAAAGTCTCACCTGCTTTTGTGAAATCATCCCCTTCCACATGCGGCTCACCATGGTGCCCAACAGCCGCCGATCCTGGTTAAGAGCAGCCAGGGTCAGGCAGGGTCGCAATCAGGCATGGACAGGGGGGCCCAGATTGAGCCTGGCAGGGGGACAGGTGCGGTGTACCGGTCCGGGCGGAAAGACACCGTCCGGGGTGCAACAGGGTGCAGGAAGGAGGGCCCCAGACAAGCCTTCGTACTGTGCTGTTGCGGCTGCACGCGCCAGAAATCCAGTCTTCCGTTCTCTGCTCCCATTCCCATCGCCATCTTCCTGTCTCATTGCGGCCGTATGTTTCTAATGTAACCGTATTTTCCTCATTGCGGCCGCATTTTTGCAAATATTTACACACAATGCGTGATATTACTGTTTGCCTTAGTCGTTATATTACTTGAAACCGGTAGAAAAAAATCCTTCCTCACCTGTTCCTCCCTGGAGGGAAGCGGCTCGTCAACCAGCTGTAGCGGCATTACCTCATCAGGCAACAAGTCGTTACATAAAGTGTGACCTGCCGCAGCAAGAACAACATTAGCATAAGGTGGCACCTCAGGATGTCTGCACATTGCCCCAGCGGTAGCAGTAGCAGTAGCAGTAGCAGTAGCAGTAGCAGTAGCAGGTAGCAGGTAGACAGCGGTAGCAGTACAGCAGTAGCAGTACAGCAGTACAGCAGTAGCAGTAGCCCACCTTGTCCACATGCCAGGGCGCCCAGCCAGGTATGCAAGCCCGTAATGGCCCTCCGAAGCTGCCAGTCGCCTTCACGACCTGCTGCAGCAGAGCAGCCATGACCAGGCTGAGTACACACATACATACATGCAAGACATCTGAAAGACAGCACATCTGCACACGAAAAAAAGGAATACAAGAATGCAAAAGTGCACGAAACGCAAGGACAAAAGGAAAGACAGATAATGCAGATAGCGCTGCGGACACGAAATCCAGGAGATCGCGAAACATGTTACAATGCTGCACAAGTGGTCAAGCGGCCAAGGAAAGCCATCGTCATCATAACCAGCTGCGCCGCCTCCGCCTGCGCCGGCTGCAGCTCTGCTTACATACCTAGGACCCTGCCGCCGCCGCCGCCGCCTCTGCCGTCACCGCTGTCATCCGCCGCTGCAGGTTCCCTCGCTGTTGTGTCGTCCATGACTGCACCTAGCTGCTCAAACGTGTCCCGCGACAGCGGCGGCAACATAAGGCCTGGTTGGGTTCGTGCCGTCGACTCCAGGGGCAGCCATGCCTGCAACCAAGCCCAAATCATCTCGCGACATTAACCACCAACGCTCATTCACCGCATTCAGTTTATTGAAGATCAAAATGACCAAGCAGGCACGCACACACACTGCTTTATCCTCAGACATGTATTGGGGCAATATCACTTGGCCCATAGTGCTCATGTAACCATCACGAGATGCATCTCGCGCATCTTGTTAAATCGTGTGGGTTTCTTGTTTGTGATCTTTCCCCCTAAAGACAGTTTTCCTCTCCCTCCCCCCCAAGCAGCTTCACTCGTTCGTGGTTCGTCTTTTCCTCCCTTCCCCGGGTCCATCATTTTCCAGCTTATATCTTGCAGCAGAACATGCAGCATAGGTTTGTTACTATCGGCCTGGACTTCTCGGCACCCGGGGTAACAGCGGCAACAATGGACAGGCGTCCGTCTGTCCGTCTGTCCATCCACTTTCCTATCAGCTGCATTACACGGCAAGGCGGGACGGGCGAAGAAGGCCACTTCGGCGTCGTTTACCTCAGTACCATATGAGGGTGTGAGCGCCTCCGGGGGCAAGCCGATTTCCTGCAGCTCTCCCTTCACCTCCAGTCGAAGAATGAACGCCTGGACAATCCACGCCGTACCAAGCCGCCGTACAGGTCAGCATGATGAGCGCAATGAGCGAGTTTCACCACCAGGATGTGACCGAACCAGACGAGACAGAACCAGTTTTATGGGGACACAGAAAGCGCTTTCTGACAACTAAAAAAGGAAAAAAGAGATTTTCTTTTCTACAACAGCAGCAGTAGCAGTAGCAACAACAACAGCAGCAGTGACAGTAGCAGCAGTAGCCGCGCAGCTGATGCTCAGGGGTTGGACGGCGTCAACAGGACATGAAACGCAAAGACAAGTAGGTACAAAATGAGGCCCCATTCGCTGTTTGCCTAGCTTAGCCGCCTAATAGGTAGGGGGGAAGAGGAAGGAGAGCAGCTGTCCGAGTCCCTATGGAGGAGGGTTACCTGGGCTGGAAAGACCGTCCGCACTTTGGACAGCACCTGGTGGTGTGGGGGGGTAGCGGGGGGTGACGGGGAAATGGGGAAATGAGGGTATTGTAGGAGTTATAACGACATTGCTTAGACTTATAAAAAACAGAGATGGGGTTAAGAGATGGGGAAACGCCGGTGGAGGCTTACAGCATGTGTTTGTGTGTATATGTATGTGCGTCTGTGTGTGTGTTTGTGTGGATGTGATATATGGCAGGGGCACAGTAGGGGGTTTTACAAGGGTCTACAGTGGGATGGCATGTAACTACTGCGCCGTACTATGTATGCCGTACTGTGTTGTCAAGCTTGTAGGTCCTACGTATGCCCTACCCGCTCTTACCTGCGCGTAACGATCCTGACCAGGCTGTAAAGATTTGGATCTCAAATCCAAACTGATGTTGTAGCGATCTACGCGCAACAGGGGCTCGGCAGACGAGCGGACAGGCGGGCGGGGGGGAATCGGAGGTCAGTGTGATGTTATGTAGTACATGTACACGCACGCACGCACGCACGCGCGTGTGTGTATTTATATGTACGATTGCCGTACAACACATGTGCATTAGAAAGGTGGACTGCTCGCATTCATTCTCCCCTTCGGACGTGCGGCATCGCATCGTTGAAAAAAAGTCAAGCCGCTCCTCTTCCTCCTCTATGTAGCCGTACGGCATTGTACGACATACCGAATGGAGACGCCGCGTGTGTATACAGTTTCACCTTACCCGGGTTGCTGGGGCTGTGGACCCCCGTCAGCCCCAGCCGCGCATGGACCTCGCCGCTGGTGGCCAGGTGCAGCATGCCATCAGGGGTGATGGCGACTGCGTGGTTGCTCTCCAGGCGGTCAGCGAGAGACAAGGCCTAGCAACGGGGGCGACAAAATGGGGGAGAGGCGATAAGATGGGGGAGAGGCGATAAGATGGGGGAGAGGCGATAAGATGGGGGAGAGGCGATAAGATGGGGGAGAGGCGATAAGATGGGGGAGAGGCGATAAGATGGGGGAGAGGCGATAAGATGGGGGAGAGGCGATAAGATGGGGGAGAGGCGATAAGATGGGGGAGAGGCGATAAGATGGGGGAGAGGCGATAAGATGGGGGAGAGGCGATAAGATGGGGGAGAGGCGATAAGATGGGGCCCCCCACGGAGGAGTGGCAACAGGGCCGTGGATAGGGTTCGTGTTGGGTTTGTAGGATGTGTTTGGCGCGGGTCAGGCAGGATGTGGGATTTGGAGGTAAGAGGCTGGGAAAGGGAACAGGCAAAGGTTAGGCCTTGCCCGTACAGCAGACTGGGGAGATGAAACTCGAAAATTTCGGTACTTCAGTACTGTAGTTCGCATTATCCCGGGTCAAGTCATGCGAACTGCAAGGTTTGGAAAATATATAACATACACCTAAAGGATAAGGACAAGGAAGATTTTCAGGGATGGCTTTGGCAGAGAGAGGGTTCCTGAGCTCATGCATGATGGTGTTCTCATGGGGGAAGTAAGTGGAATTTGAACGAGCTGTGACCCGAGGGTCCGTTGAAATGGAGAGGTAGCAACAAGTGGGAAGGTAACAACGCAAACGTTTGTGGAGGATACGACGATGAAAGCCATGAATGTGTTGAAAAAGGATTTTCACCTGCAAGGTTGTGTCCTCCTGCAAAATGACCCCCGTGTTGAGGACTTGCGCGAGGATGTCCGCAAGGCTGGCACGTATCACCTTTCAAGGATTGAACGGGCAAACTTAGAAAAGCCCTTGTAGTTCTGAAATGTATCTAAAGAGTAAATTGGCAACTACCTGGTATCCTTCGTCAGGCGGAAGCATTGTAACCAACTGAACGTCCAGTTCTTCTTGCAATTCCTTATCGACAGTGTCATATGGAAGAAGCACTTGAATCGCATGATTAAGTAAGTGGTCTTTTACAGTCTTTTCCAGGTCCGCATTCGGGTGCTCCAAGTTGGAAAGTCGCCAGTAAAGGCGCGGGCCCTGCTTGGACGGCATATTCCAAACCCAGGTACTGCAATGAAGCGCTTATGGAGCAGCGCTCAGTCCAATTCCCGATTACTGGCGAACTCCCGGCGGCTGTCGTGGCATGATTTGCATTGATTTCAGCAGCTGAAAATCAACTTAAGCATGCCATATTATTTTACCGCAACAAAGACGATCTTAAGCCCAAGTGCACACGTCTTCTCGAATACAAACTTTGTGTATTCAACGGTGGGCGCTAACCGAACTAACCGAACGCATAATGCTCGCTGCTCAGCTGCCACTGTTCGCTGCTGGCTTACCTAACGACAACTACAGCCATAGCCGATGCGTGTGCGCAGCTAGCCAAGCCGTCACATTCGGCCCCGCAAAGCAGCACCCAAAAACGTCACCTATATTATGCCAAGCCTATCAGAAGCAACCAACGCCAGCAGTAGCGTCTCGTCCCGTTCCGTACGCAGGGCGGAATCGACATCAAAGCGTGCCACAGCCCCAGCACGCCTCGGGCTCTGCTGTGGCGTTGCTGACGCCTTTCTTCGGACGTTTTGTGACATGGAACCCCCCACAACATCGCCCTCGCTAACCCATTTTCTGTGCGCGTCTCGTGTTTTGCTGCTTGGGGCCCGAGAGAGAATAAGTCAGCGGGCCTGCTTCCGAGAGCCCTAGAGCCGTAGAGCTAACCGTCCTCCGTATCGTTACATTCTTCTAGTCTACGGTCCTTCTGTGTTATTGTGTCTCAGTTGTGTCTCAGTCCGCCGCCTCCGCCTCCTCATCGGCATCACCAGCAAAACAGGCCACTGCACAAAATCCGTCCCCCAAATTTATTTAACCCTGAAAAGGAAACATCGGACAACCTAATAGACAGGAGCTGTAGATAGTCGCATCCCGCTAGAGTATTTTCGCTCCTTCCTGCAGTTTCAATTTCCGCGTCAGTTTCAATGAGTTTTCCTTTGGGGGATTTTTTCCCAGTAAACAAAGAACTTTACCTACTCACGCGCCTCCACCTTAACCACTGCCTTACCACCAAAGCGAGGTCAAAGGAGCGAAGGCGAGGGAGTAGAGGCGGGTATCGAGAAAACGAAAGTCGCGCACGTCGCTGCGATGACTCATAAAGTCGACTTGTACTGCGTGCCACTCGTCGTCAACCGCACCCACTAACCCCTTAAATTGACTACAAGTCCATCCCGCTCCTTCTCGACAGCTTGCTTTCTACTCCTTTACATTTCACATCTGAAATGTGGATTCATCGATCCGAACCCGCGTCATCGAAACCACGATGATGCAGACGTGCGCTAAACACTCAGGGCAGGCTCCGGTCTGTCGCTGGGCCTCTGCCCAGCCATTCGCGCACAAGTATACACGCAAACACACATACTCTCAACTCTCAACTCTCAACAGGAAAAGAAAATGCAGTGCGTATATCTCCTCGTTCACAGCTCAGTTTCATATACAACAGACAGATAGACAGACAGACAGTTAGGATTGTAGGCAATTCGACACAAAATACTGGGACAGTCAAGACCGACAAGCATGCATGCAGACAGACAAACAGACACGGATTAAGTCCAACAGCCCCTCCAGCCATCGCTCCAGCCACCCAACTTAGTCCAGGAGATGCAACTGAGCCACTGCCCAGTAGTCACTCAAGGACAGCGGACAACACCCACCATCACCATCACCACCACCAGCACCACCAGCACCACCGGCACCGCCGCCGCTGCAGCCGTCGAAGTTCAGAGCAGCCACCGGGCCGGCACCACGCGCAGAACGCTGCTGGTGCTGCTGCTGCTGGTGCTGGTGCTGCTGGTGCTGCTGGTGCTGGTACTGCTCTTGTTGCTGCTCTTGTTGCTGTCCTTGCTGGTGCCGGTGCGGCCAAGGTCTAGCGTACAGCGCTACGAGGCCTCGTCGGGGGCCACCTCGAGGGTCGACCAGACAGCTCTGCAGCATGTGGGAGCGTATGGCGCTGTGCTAGTGAGCGTGTACGGGTTTGCGGTCGTGTACGGATTAGTGAGCGTGTACGGGTTACTGACCATATGGCCATGCGGTTCTCTGGATGCGGGGGTTGTATGCCGGTTGTACACGACGTCGAGGATGAGGGCGAGGATGAGAGGATGAGACAGCGGGGCAGAGCTAGGCGGCCTGGCTGGCCAGGCAGGCAGGCAGGCAGGCAGCCAACGGGCGTGTGCCGCATTGCGCCCTCCCCTGTCAACATTCCCAAGAAATTCCAAATACGAGGAAGGAGAACCCCCGGTTGCGGAACGTTCACACATATCACATTTCATAGCAGGAAAAGGAAAGGAAAGCGGAAGGGGACGGTGAAGCAAAAGACTGCGGAAAGCGACGTGTCGCCCCGCCCTAGATCCTTGTGGTGTGTGTGTGTGTGGGGGGGGGGAAATGCTAAGCACACAGACCAACCCGTCTTGAAACACCCCGGAGGAGCTGTCCCCTCACCTCCACCAATCGCCGTCGTCGGGCAGTCCCCAGTCCGTGAAACGCGGCGGCGCTAACACCCAGCAGGCTCTGCAGCGATGACGTCATGACGTTATGACATCATGACCCGGACATTGCGGGCGAGGATTTGGACAGACGGACAGGTTAGTTCTGGGTTTCTAGACACGAAGGTAAAATTTGGGCATCGAGTGCATGAAATTAGGACACTGTGATGCAAAAAGACTCAAATTCGGGTAAATGCCACGGCAAGTAGTTGGGAGTTCTCTATCTCCCCATTAGGCCTGATTAGGAGTCGGGTTGCGGACGAGCAGAGTGTAGCCTGGATAGGAAAGCCTCGGTCGCTGCCGTGCTGCCAGTGTTGCCATATGAATGGCCCCCGCTGCGGCTGCACCTTGGCTTTTCACTCTTCAACAGCCCCACCTCCACATCCTCCCTCCTCCCCCGTCCTTCTCCTCCTCCTCCACCCCCTCCCCCCCCTCACCTCTCCTCCTCCTCCTCCTCCTTTCCCCCCCTCACCCCTCCTCCTCCTCTTCCTTTCCCCCCCTCACCCTCCTCCTCCTCCTCC